TGGAGAATCCGACGAGGACGAGATTATCGAGGCGCTGGGACATACATATGTGCTTCCAGCACAGTCCCGCTCCAAGATCAATCATCACCGCAAATCCGCTTTCCTACCTCGAGACTTTGATGATGACCGGGGACGGTACACTAATTACGACGACTACCTGCAGGGTGCTACCACCGCCGCTGTCTACGATGACTACTACACACGAGAGCAGGCTTCCACTTTCCAGTCGCCTCAGCCTCAACCTCGACCTCCTACCAGCTTCGGCCACAGCCGTCGATCCTCCACCGCGGTCCCCCCTCCCCGGCCACAGACTGTCCGTCCCGCCAGTTCACACCGCAGCAAGCCCGCCTCTACCCCTTCTACTCCCAAGGCCACTGATGCCGATGCTCGCAAGCACCGCATTCCTGCTGGATACTCACTCAAGAACTGGGACCCTGCCGAAGAGCCCATCCTTCTCCTAGGTAGTGTCTTTGATGCCAACAGTCTCGGAAAGTGGATCTATGACTGGACCGTCTATCACCAAGGTCCTGCCACTCCCATCTCTGATATGGCTGGTGAGATGTGGCTGCTTCTCATTCAGCTCGCTGGCAAGGTCAAGCGAGCTGAGGAGACAGTTGGTCGCGTCCGCACTCCTGACAACCGTGACCTCGTTGAGGAGTTCATCGAGGCCGGTGAACGCCTCACTGAGAAGCTCCGATCCCTCCTCAAGGCCTGTGAAGCCCCCATGCTCAAGGCTGCCAAGCGCAAGCAAGCTGGCCTCGGCAAGAATGCCGGTGTCGAGTTTGTTGAGACCCTCTTTGGACGTGACCGAGAGCTCGACAAGACGGAGAAGTTTATGCAAAACGTGAGGCTCTTCAACCTTCGCTTTGACGCCAACTGTGAAGAAATTCTCCGGAACCCTACCAAATAAGCGGATCATCCATTGGACCCCTGGAATGTTTCTGTTTACCTACCATACCATACCTATGCCTGAGGATCCTATGATACCGGCCAGTGACATTTACCAAAGCTCGCCGGACTGGATACCCATATCCGTTGTATACTACCACTACTACCCGGATCTCCTGGACACACTCATACCCATGACAAGGATTTCCATCTATCTTTTCTTTTACGACATCTCTACCTCGTCCCAAGGAAGCGATTTCTTTTTATTGACTTGGCAATCGAAACAAAGACACCAAGACTCATGGGGCGACCTGTACCACCAGCAATGCACACGCGCGCGCGGAGGAGGGGATCGATATCAAGGGGGCTTCTTTTTCTTCCAATTCGAGATACCCAGTGTTTTTTCCGTTCGGAATGACGCGAGCAGTTGGCGAGGGGGAGCAAGCAAGCAAGCGAGTCATCTTGAGTGATGACAAGGAGTGACAGACTCCGATTTTCTTTTTTCTACTCTTTTTGTTTTGGAGCTTGGATATTATTTTGCGTTTTGGGATTAGCGCGCGTTAGGATAACAAAAGTGATTGACACTTAGAACGGAAGGCTACTACACGGTAATCTGGAGGATTTGACGTCTTTAACGTTCCTCATTGATGGATGGAAGCAATGTCCTCATGCATTAGAGCTATGAGGAGGGGTTGGGGGCGTTAAGGAATGGTTATACCACTTTCAAGATGGATACTTTTGATTTCGATTATTTTAATATTTAGGCAAAAAAATCGCAAACTATCTACACAATTATCTGTTCTCGTGATGTCTGTATGACTGACACTCTCAATATCCCTCCGTGCGTGTACAGTACCGCACTTGGTGAATGAAGTTCCTGATCCTGTTTCGACATGATTATCCCCTTGTGTTTCCGTTTTAACGAACCCCGCGTAGAAGCGAGAGGGGTATAAACGCAAATGGCTTGGTTTGAGGCACTTTACTTCTACAACGTGGGTTAGTGAATGGACGATCCGGCATGAGGTCATGGCCAAGCAAACCCCTGGACAACTAATGCGTCATGCAGTTTCAAGAGCTCTTGAATTGAAGCAAAGCAACAGACATTTACTTTTGTAGGATTGATTAACATGCTTGTGATGTAATTTACTAAGATATTCCAAGATTTGGCGATGAACACCTGACCAGCGATCGTTGCCGTAGACTTGAGAGGCCTTTGTTTCAGCCGGTTTGCACGACTCGCGTTGGGGGGCTTGGGCATTGGAATGTGTGAAACTTTGAAGAATGACTTGCAGGTGCGTGAAGTGGAGGGAGCTAGACGTTGGAATCAGTGGGTTTCAGATCATACAAAGGTGGAGATGCCGTTGAGAAATGGTGTTGGGGACTTTTTGGAATGAATCCCTTCCCTTGACTCGTATCTAAAGTTGAGCCGACGAGAAGCTGAGGCGTTAGACGTACGTTGTTCCGGGAATGCCGTATCTTGAGTTTCTGCTAGACAGTAAACTCTGCCAAGTATGAAACCGTCACAATCAGCCATTTTCTACTTAGTAAAAGTTTCTTTCGCGGGTTGAAGGCTGTTACTGAGAAGGGATTAGTTAGTGGTGGTGTGGGTACAGCGAGCGGCTACAAGGCCAATGAGTGAAGAGGTGAATTACCTTGCTTTTTCCTTTTTTTTTTTTTTTCGCGGTTTTTACCACGTGTGGCATATGGAGGGTAGAGGAGGGGCTAGAGGGAAGAGAGGTTGGGGGCCAGATTGATATGCTGGATCTTGCATCTGAGAGGCACATGTGATCCAATGTGATGTGATAAGACGGAACCTGAGGGGGGGTCTCGATTGAGGTCGCAGTGAGTGAAATATCCCATCCTAGTCTAGAAATGTTTGCATGTTGGGGGTTCTACAGAGCACATTTCCATCCTGTGAACAGCCCCCAATTGTAACTGTAACCTTGATACCACACCACGACGTGATGTGATGTGCGCCGGCGTCTAAGACGCCCGTCATCCCGTGAGGGAGGTTGGGATTATTGCAATGCGTGCAGCCGTGATTACATCCTGGGATGACAATGACAGGTGTGTAACACCCACGGGCTGGATTCATACCTAAGCTGCGAGGCTCAGCCTGCAGAAGGCATTAAGTAAGGTAACCCTGACAAAATATGCACAGCGTAACGTAAGCAGTGCATACAAGGCTGAGCGTGCAGTAAAGAATTAATTATAGAATGCTAGGTTCAACCTCTTAAACAGCAAGATATACCCTGTTGTAGAACTCTATGACACTTGTATGTCTCGGCCCAGTGCCGTGGGATGATTATGTACGACATCGGCTGAAAAATTGCTAAACGTTGCACAAAATGTTGCACCTGTCTGATTTGTTTGTTAGACGCAGCATGTTGTTGTAAGTGAGAAAGTCGGGAACTATCCTGTGAGAGACGGACACGTTTGACGGGTGTATCGATTGAGCTACATATGTATGTATGCGGGTAGATTCTTTCTCAGCCTTGTAACGCTGTGTTTTTTGTCGACGGACACGAGAATGTCTCGTCTCAGGCATGTGTGCGTTAGATGAGCTTGGCTAGCACCTCGAGCGAGTTGATGCTGGGAGGTTGTAGCACAAGTGGCACTGTTTGAGCTTCGTGTAAGTGAATGGCGAGTATCCCCTCTTTTGTAGCGGGCTCAATATCGCGCTCCTGCGAGTCGCCGATGTACACGATATCTTGCGGTGTGATCTCTAGATGATCAAGTACCTTGCCGAAGAGTCCATCGATCTTGGCCACACCGAAGAAGTTTGTGGTCGCGAGAAAGTCGATGTAGTTGTCGATGCCTAGGTCTCTCACTGCTCGCTGCTGTGCATCCTGTGGTCCTTCTGTGATCACCGCGATCTTTCTTCCAGACGCCTGGATTGCTTCAAGGAGAGAAATAGCTCCTGGTTTGAGTGTCAGGTTATCCACAAGAACACGCTCGTAGTCCTCCAGCAGCTCATCGACACTATCGTCACTCAATCCGAAATGGCTCAATGTGGCAGCGAAGCGAGCACGACGGTAGTCATGTGAGGTCTTTCCGTCGGTGAATGCATCAGCGGTTCCTTGCTTTAGAATGATTCCGTATTGGGCTTGAAGCTCTTGAAGTGTGGTTGATGGGTTTCCTCTAGCGATGCGTGTCAGAACGCTCGTGGTTGCTGTACGACTGGCTTTGCGAAATTCATGGAGAGTGTCGTCTAGGTCGAATCCAAACCAGGTTTTTGTCTGTAGAAGGCTATGTAGCTGATCCCCATCCTTCTCGGTCGTAGAGGACATTGCAGTGATATTTCGCGGCGTTGCGAATGTGTGATTGCGAGATTTGAGTTGATTATTTATAACGCCCGCATGAATGGACTGTCAAGACGTGATAAACAGGCACAGGTTTCATCCACTTTGAGTCCTGATCGAAAGTAAAAGTCACTCAATTGACAGCCATAATTAATTCTATATCATATGTCCCCCAATACTTCAATGCTTCCTACTCTCTGACCACCTGGTGGATTGACACCTGAAGGTGTAGACAAAGTATCGGGTAGGTAACTTTTCACTGTAAAGATGATGTTCAACATTGGGTCAATATCATCCTCTCAGGGTCTGTCCTTGATCATTCTCAGGCTCTTTTATGAAATCCGAAGCTATCTTCAAGTCTTCGTCTTTTTTCCCCTCTGTTGATTGTCATGACCTTCAATTGTGTCAATGGGGGTCTTTTGAGGCAACATGTGCGCAAATCCACTATCAAAATCCACAACATTCCAAAGTGCTTATCATTGAACTTATAGTTAAAGAAACATGACCCCCTCTAGTACTTCAATTCCTACTAGCTATGACATTTCTAAAGCATCTTGAACAATTCCAAACAGTCCGCTTCACTCAAGATCAAATTCATGTGAATGCAGCGGTGATGACTAAGCGTGCAGTAGCTGGTCAAAATTCCCCATCACCCCATGCAAGCAAGAGGTTGGGTTGATCAGCTCAACCCGAGGTTCAATAAACAACAAGAACGGCAACAGTTACAACGCCTGGCAAGTCAATTGAGGTCAAATCAACACAGAGATACCCTGAACTCTTCTGAGCTATTGAAAGACTCACCACATCACAATGCACTATGTCAGATTTCTGGGGCCACCCAAGGTGATTAAGAACCGCCGTGGGACCCTGGTTCAGCTACTCTTCACCATCACAACAGACCTCGGCGACTCATTTCTCTTCCCGGAGAGATTCCTAGATCTTCAAGTCGTTGCCATCGCCGCTTCACCCGAAGGAAGCTCAACATGGCTCCTCTCAGATCCCGGACACCTCGACTGGGAACCCGGCATGCGCGTTGCGAAGCCAGCATTGGAAATGCCCGTTGCTCTTGAACGAGCTCTTGAATCTGGAATGAGAGTCCATGTCTGTGTCCGGGCATCAGAACCTTTTCATACCGCGGAGAGCGTCCCACGCATTCTGGCCTTGTCGGCCGAGAAGATGCGGTATCGGAAGGAAGCGGCAGAGAAGGGTGCTGTCATGCCAGCTTGGGTGCCCTTAACTCTCACACCAGCAGACAATGCTGTGTCTATTCGGAGACTTCAACTGAACGACACACCTGAGGGCCTGGGAACTATTGAGATTGAGGAGGAGATCGGTGAGAGCATTGCGCGTCACATCTGGGATGGAGGTATGATAGCTACGTGTGCACTTGCAGGTATCGAGACTGCTCCCGATAGCGAGTCTAGCCAGAACCCCTGCATGAGAACAATGAAGAACATCTTCACCCGCCAGAAGTCGATCCGTGTGTTGGAATTGGGTTGCGGTGTGGGCATCTTGGGTGTTGGGCTCGCCGCTGTGTACCCCCGACTGCAGCCTTCAGGTGGCGACTGCACCATTCTCATGACTGATCTACCAGAAGCTGAGGAGCGCGCCAGATCAAACATGAAGAGGTTGGAGAATTCTCATCTACGCTTCCAAGAGAACCCTGTTCGAATGCTCTACGAAAATCTTGACTGGGAGGAGGGCAGACAGGGTCGCTTTGGACCCGAGGTTCGATCTGGACCTTGGGATCTCGTGATGCTCAGCGACTGCACTTACAATGTCGACATGCTACCAGCACTCGTTGAAACACTCTCAGCCATTCATGCAGCAAATCTGACCTACTTTCCGGAAGGCGAACCATTTACTACAAAAGTATTCCTAGCTACCAAGCCTCGCCACGAATCAGAGGACGTTCTGTTTGAGCTTATGGACAAGGAAAGCTGGTACAGCGTTCACAAGCAAGTCTTGCCGAAGCCTGTCCTTGGTGGTGTGCCTCAATCTGTCGAACTTCATCTATTCGACAAATCTGGGCTCAGCGATGGCAGGGGTGAGATGAGGGGGGAGGACAAGAAAGAGGAAGATAAGGGCAAGAAGCACAAGGGAAAGAAAGAGAAGGAGAAGGAAAAGGAAGCACAAGACTAGGCTGGAGCTGCAAAGGGCCTCAGGCAATTCATCGCAAGGCGACCGCATACCAAAACGTCGACAGCCAATTGTCCAAACAATGCACTCACCGTCACACAGCAACAAACACCTCAATAGGCTACTGCGACGACTTTTGCTCTGAGGCTCGACTCTGCAGACGATGATGGTGCCGAAAGACTCAATGTCATTGGGGTTACCCCGCGTGTTGTGTAACGCCCTCCAGCCCTGATATTTCGAGGATTGGACACAGCGATTGGAAACGAGCCAGTAGGAGGAATGGGCGGGGTGGAAGATGACTTGCTTAATTGACCGGTGTGGTGGTGTGCTGATGAGTTGTCCCTCAAGCCCACGAACGGACCATGAGGCTCTGCGATGGCCTCAAAATTGAGAACCCCCGATCGTGTATTTAGCGACGAGTTTAAAATGTCCACCATTTCTAGCGATAAAAATTGATACTTCATTCTTCAGGCAATCATGGCAGATACAAAGGTCAAGGTCAATGGCCATACCAATGGCAATGGCACGACCGACAAGACAACCACCAAGAACACCAAGCTATGGCAGCTCCTCGCTTTAGCGAAGGAAGTCTCCAAAGATGCCGGCTCAATCGAAGACTTTGAGAAGTCAGCTGAGGAGCGTGAAGCTCTAAAGCAAGAACTCGAAGCCAAACAGGGCGAGAACAAGCGTCTCCGCGAATTCAACGACAAGATCGTGCGAGAGTTCTCAGACCACAAAGCGCAAGCCAACGCAAAGACAGAAACACTCTTTGCAGAATTTGAACAGAAGTACAAAACTTATGAGTCTAACAAGGCAGCCGTTGAAGCCATGGAGAGAGAGGTCAAGGAAGCGAGGGAGAAACTCGCTGCATCAGAGGTGAAGGAGAGAGAGGTTGAGAATTTGAAGCAGAACCTGGCGGCTGCAGAGGCGCATTTGACGAGCCACGCTTCGGAGATTAGAGAGATGAATGCGGAGTGTGAGTTGCAGAAATCGCAGATGGAGGCTCATATTGAGGAGTTGAAGGGGTGTAAGGAGAAGTTGACGCAGGCGCAGAGTGATCTTGGGGAGGGCATCCTGCGAGACTTTGGAACTGAGGAGGTCAAGAAGCTGTGAGTAATCTTTTTATGAGTAATGGACTAAACTAATAAGGATAGGCGATCTGATCTCCAGGAGTTGTCAAAGAAGGTTCACGATTTTGTCAATGAGTATTTCAACGACCACGATGGCGCACAGGTAGCTCTCCACGCTTGAGTTCTCTGAATCATACTGACAATTGTTAGGACTCTGCGAGTGAGATCCAGGAACTTCACGCCCGTTTCCCCAAGATCCCACTCTCAACCCGCACCACCAAAGCAAGTGCCAAGATGCGCTGTGCTGTCGCTGATGCTGTGATCGCGGAAACACTCCTCTCTTTTGTCTTTGTCCCCTTCTACGTCGCCAGTGACATGAGGGCCACTGCATCTAGCATGCTTGGCTTCTTCAAAGGGGATGAGCGACGAGAAACAGTATATCGCTCTCAAATCCTCGGATTTCTCTCTGATTCTGAGCAAACTGAGACGGTTCAAGAGGACATTGTGCGCAAAGCGAGCAACGAGGTGCGAAGCACACTGCACCCACTTGTCGTGGCGTACAAGCAAACTGGCTTCTACAATGCTGTCCCGGCGCTGTTTAGACAAGCTGTTGCACTCTGGGCCGATACGCAGCGCTCTCGCGATATGATAACCGCAGAGATGCCCGATGAAGAAGATTCTCGCGGTGCGCGCCAGTATGATGACTACGACGTCGGCAACGCGCGCAAGACAAAGGGAAGTCCCAAGCCGACGGTCCTCGCGATTCTGTTCCCGCAGTTCATCTGCCGCGATGAAGTAATCGCAGAGGGCGTGGTTCTCAGATCTGATCAAGTTGCTGTTCTTGAGGCGCTGGAGGAAGCAAAGGATAACGGGGGTGTGAACGGTGATACGAAGAAGAAGCCGGGCACGCGAAGGAGATCTTCTGCGGAACCAAAGTCTCCGCTGCGCAAGTGACTCTCACGGCTGTTCTGTATACGGAGGGAGGAGGAGGTGATTGATGTTCGGGTTTGAGTATGATTGTACATGAGGGGGAAAACACGAGGAAACTGGGACTGCATACGTTTGAACTTTGGTGCATTTTGGATGTAAATAGCAAAAAGAAGAAGAAAATCAACCAAAATTTGCGATAATTGCTTTGTTTATATATGTCTGTGATTTTGGTGCAAACAGCGAATAACGCAGCTGTTATGAGCCCAGAGAATGGTGATGTTCACTTTGCTCTCTAGTGTTTGTACTTAGTTCGAAACAACAAGACTGTTCCATATGGACAAGGACGAGGCAATAGTTGAGGATTAATGGTTCATCAGAGAATAGTCAGTGATTTATTCCTGAGCTAGATAATCTGACCCCAGTTGGGTGACTTTAAGCGCATTCATCAACACCAGCTCGCACCTTGCTCCGCCCGCCTCCGATGTAGAACACGCTCTACTCCAGTGTGAAGAGATTCTACCCCTCATCATCCTCTTCGTAGTAGGTGACTTAATTCTCGGTTTCGTTCTTGTCTTCGGCAATCTGGGAGGCACCTTGATTGTGACCAGCAAGGCCTTGCTGGTGTTGCTCCACAAGTTGCTGCATGGTCTTCTGCTGTTCATTGATGGTCTTCTGCTTTTCCTCTATAATCTCCTGTTGTTCGTTGATAGTCTTCTGCTTTTCAATGACAGCCTCCTGATGTTGAATGAGAGTCTCGTGTAGTTGAATGACATCCTGCTGCAGTTCCACGATAGTCTGCTGCAGCTTAGAGACCCTCGTTGCCAGTTGGGTCAAAGGGTTGACAGCTTCGTCGCTGAGGATCATATCATCGTCTTTGTCAGCTACCTCGATAGCGGTAGCTGGTGTGTTCTCGGGCTCGGGGGCAGCCATCTCGTTGCTTTGCTACGATTTGTTAGCAAATATTCAGTAGGGCACTTCCGTGAGATGGAAACTCACACAGTGCAACGCAGAGTTGTATGTGATCTTTCAAAAAGGAGGGTGAAATTGTAAAGTCGGTCTTCCCGTGCAGATTGTATAAGTGCTCAGAGAGAATGAGGTTGTTGGTGGGCGGTGACGATTGTGCTGATTGCTGGCATCAAGGTGCAGGAGTTGTTGACACGGGAGAGTTGCGGTTCTGATGTTTGCGTGCCAGTTTGATTTCTCCGCCCTTCATATTGTTATCATGCAGTAGAGTATATTTTATTCAGATTGTGTGAGGTGTGCCTTCTATTGTGTTCCAAAAAGCTCTCTTATTACAGATACTGCAGTTGCTATGCACTCCTGACAGCTGTTGACAGCTGCGTGCACTAGCAAATGTCTGAGCTTTCCATATAAATAATATGCTATGCCACACCTTCAGAATTCTCTCAATTTTGCTTTTCTTTCTTTTCATCATTATTACTCGCATCGGTCACCCCAACATATCTGATAGGGGTGACCAAGGAGTGCGTGCACCAGTAAATATTACTAAGGTTTCGATATAAATTATATACTATATTCTACATGGAGGATTTTCTTGGTTCTGCTTTTTTCTCTCTTCATCATCTCATCCTCTCTCCTCGCTCTGAATTCCCTCAGATCAATAACCATCCTGTCACCCAACATGTCCGACGGACCTCCTCCCACTCCCTCCAAGAGACAGCGCGCGAAGGCGCTCGAGGACCTGGGCATCCCACAAGACGCCCAGTTCGAGAGTTCTCTGCCTTGTATTCGATGCTTTGGCTCGGCGCTCACCGTAGCGTCGACACTCATCGCAACCAATCCAGAGACTCCTATCGATGTGCCTACCTTCGGTTGCAAGTTTCCCTTCATCAACTCCAAGAAGTGCACAAACTGTGACAAAAACATTTGCATCCGGTATTTAACTTGAATCAAGCTCAGAGATGCTTTTACTAACTGGGTGTAGCGTACCTGCCATGATGAATGGCAACTACATGGATATTTTCTCCATTTTCAAGGCCATCGACAAGATGCTCAAGGACGGGACCGCTCGCTTCCAAGACGCCCACAAACTTGGTATCGCCAAAACAACCGTGCCAGACTCGAAGGAATCGAATTTCCACCAAGTTCAACTCGACTACCCTGCCCAAACTCGGTCAACGCTCTGAAGTCCTTGTCAACACCCATGCTCTCACGCACGATGATATTGTATGAACTTAGGACCTGTTGTGATGAATTTAGGGTCTCTTATGATGAGTTTAGGATAGAATTTACTTATCTACTCTGCCTCTCGTCAAAGTTTAGGATATCTCTCTCCATACTTTTCCAGGGGCCATTGCCTAGACAATCCCAATGCCACTCCAAGCCTCACTTCTGCCTTCTCATCGCACTGGGGCATCATCACAAAACTACAAACCCGTCGCCAGTAATCTTTCCCTCTATGTGAACAAAGTCTTCAAGGATGATTACATTATCTCCCACGCTGGTCTCCTCTGCTGGACAGCCATCCCTTCTCAGCTGACAAACTTTCTGTGTTTGTTGGTATAGTGATTATCTTCTCACGATCTTGCGCGCCTTGGCCATTTCCTCGTCACTAAGAAACCTGCTTCTTCGTTGCCCGGACGAGTTATATCTTGACTCAAGCTCATCCCATTCATCGTCTTCCATATTCGCAAGTGCAAGAATCTCTTGCAAGCGAGTAAACGGCTCTCGAAGGGCGTAGTTGTCCTTGGTGATGACACTTATAATGCCAGAGAAGTCCGACTCCAACCGTAAACTACCAAGTGCAGTCACACGGCCAGAGAAACTCCACGCACGCTTCTCTAACACTGTTGCTAGCTTGTTGGCTGTTAGGCTCATCAATGCTGCGTATGTTCTCGGCGTCATGATGCGCTTTAATGGCCTTGTCAAGGCCAACCACTCGCCTTCGAATCGCGCCGGCACTTGCTCCATTGTGTCTCTATCGACGTCCTCTTCATCCAAGGACTCTCCTTCAGACATATCGTAGACTGCATCTTGGAAAGAGGTTGTAAGGACTAGCCTGGTACTGGGCCATAAGAGCTCGTCGAAAAGTGCTCGGATGCCATCATTCAGAAGCTCTTTAGCTTTGGCAGATAGTGCAACCTTCATAGTATGGAGTCAATCCGCTACTGAATCGGCATCTCTGAGAAATGGGAAGGAATCCCTGAGTGTTTGTGTAGATGCTGTAGCCACACCGACACGTTGAGTTTCTGAGACGTAGCCTCTAGAGCTCGCAATACGCTCTATATATTCTTTAGCCAGGTCGAGAGTGTTCATCAGAATCATGAAGCTCAAGACTTTTTCCTCTGGTGGAAACCCACCCTGAGCCGGTGGTTTGGGATAGCACTCATCCCTCATGCGCCTATGAATGATCCCGATGAAATCCGATTCGAGGACCCTGCTGATAGCCAACATGACAGAGACTGCCAGCTCTCTATTTCCCGTAGAGATGACATGCTGTATTAGATTGTCCACCACGTATATTATGTCATCTACGGCTTGCAGAATGAACGGTGGACTACCATCGTGCGGTTTAGACAGTGAGAGGCCACTTGGTGTAGTATCAATCTCAAAAGCCCGTTCTACCGACCTCCGGAAGAGAAATGTTGCCGTAAGTCTATATGGCTCGATGAGCTTCTCTGAGATCTTTTCATGGAGATCACATTGATCAAGAAATTTCGGAAGCGGTAGCTTTTCTGCTTGGTTGAGAACGCCCTAAAGCCAATCGTCAGTAAATGATAGCATATATATCTTTATTCCCTACCTTGCATTTACTTGCAATGAATCGTTTATAAAGCGACCAACTCCTTAGCATTGTTGTCATTTCCACAAAAAGCCCCTCAACTTTCTTCACATCCAGGTCAAATTCATCTTTTTTCAGCTCGTTGCCTCGAAAGGCAAAACTGGTGCCTCTCTGTACTGGCATCATGCTTTTCGAGAGGAAAGAGAAAGGGTAGCTCTTGATATCGGCCATAATCCTGTCGACCGCCCGCTCGTCATTCCACAAGTCCAAGATAACCCCGCCCTGAACGTCAGCCTCTTTTTGAAGTCTTTCAATGACCTTCACGACTTTATCAGCGCCGTAGTGCCTCTCTACCAGACCACTGTGGCTGTTGATGATCTGTAAAATGTGCTCAAGCAGCCGTGTTAGGTTATTTGCATAGAATAAATCTTTCTGTCTGCCACGTTCCTTGTGTGGCCCCCTGAGAGTTGATCGGGCTATTTCCGCCATACCTTGGCAGATATACTGTCCATAGGCCTCCAGTCCCTTTTCCTCCTCACCACCTCCAAGGAACGGAAATAGTTTGAAGAAGCGTACGACCTTTTCTCCGTCCCCTTTCTTAGTAGCCTCTTCGAATTCCCTCAAGAATAGAGCGCTGAGGCTCTTGCGAGCAGTCTGGATTGTAGCCCAAGGGGGATCTGGAGCCTCAATGCTTGGTACAATGGCTAGAGCGAAGTCTCCGTGAATTACCTCCTCGGGTATATCCGATATGCGTGAGAGGTAGTTGGCGGCAGCCTCCCAGTCTTGAGGAGCACCCATGCTGCCTAAAGACCAGCTATACACGCTTTGAGCTCCAAGACTTGTTCGATCACGGTCAGCGTGGCCTCTACCCTTTTCTTCTCCATATCTAAAGCGCGTATCGTGGTAGATAGTCGCTCAGCGGTGTTAACCGCCGAAGATAACATCGCACTATGAATGCTTCTAGTTGCGATGAGCTGCATATCCAAGTCTCCATGAAGGCTATCCAGGCCGCCAAGCTGTCGGTCGAACTCTTCACTTCCCTTTATTGGGACATCAAGTTTGTCGATGAGAATATCTTCCCGCTCATGAAGTTGGTTCAACACATCTCTGAGCTCAGCCTCCGATGAGACAGTATTCAAATCATAGATCTTGGCCATTGTATAGGGGTAAATTCTAGGCCCAAGTTACCAGACAGGCAGGAGTGGTCCTCGGGCAAGTTAAAACGTCTGAGTTGATGACCGTAGAATTGGCACACGTAAGGTAGCTCTAGCTAATTGTCGGTGAACCAACACAAATTAACAGAGCCCATGCAACCATGTTAGTTGCTTGAATGAGACGTACGCATCACGTGATCATCTTCCATTGTTAAACAGAGGAAAACATCGTCACAGGAGGGGAAAACGTTTGGGTTCGAGCATCGTCTGACCCTGGAGAACGCTTCTGAATGATGTTTGAATAGCTTTTTATCTGTCATGAGGGTAAAGTTATGTATTAAATGAGGTAACTGCTGTTCCTCTCTATATATAGTCTATGGTCAACTTTTAATCGTACCCGTCACACATCCTGCAAAACCCATCACATCGTCTATAATAAACTTCTTTACCCTTTAACGTCGGTTGAAGTTGAGGAAGCGGCTCTGAAACATAAGTTAGCAATCGTTCTTCAAGGTGGTGCTTATGCAGGGCTACTTACCGCCAAGATAATGATAATTAAGTTACTTGCGATGAAGCAAGCAAAGATACCCAAATCTCTCCAACGATCGTTGAAAGAGAGATCAAAGGTGCTGTAAAACTCGTCGCCCACCTTGTACGCGCAATACTCGCAGTCTCTTGTGTTGTCATTGACAAGATAGCCACGACCGCCATTGGCGAAGAAGGGCTCCATGTAATCTCCACAAGTACTGTTAGAAGGCGAAGTGAAGCGGTTGAGCTCGCTTTGCTTGCAGACAACCTCAACTCCGTGCAGGGCAGTTGTGACCATTGAGCTGATCAGACGGGTGAAAGGGTCCAGTTGGTACATCCAGGCACGCCAGAAACCAGGGATCTGAGGTTTGGGGATCGTAACACCACAGAACAAGGCGAAGTTGATGATGATGAATGGATCAAACTGTGCTGAGATGAAGGGCGAGGGGGTGATACTGGCGAGAGCCTGTCCAAGGGTGACTGAGAACAGCTCAGTGATGAGGATAATGAAGAACTGAAATCCTGCTCGAGAAGGCTCGGTCTGGAATCCGGGCATGAAGTAAATTGGGAGATCTGAAACGTGTGAGTAATGGCTCAATTGGATTGTTGGTGTTAAGAACTTACAGAAAGCTACCGCACACATAATAGAGTAGGGCAGTTCAGCTAGGACAACCGACGAGGAGAATACGAAGGGAGAGTACATCTTGGAAGACTGCTCTCTGAAGAAGAGAGCTCGCTTGATGTGGAACATGACTTCGACTTGAGTGATGATAAGAGCGGGCAGAACAGTAACTTGGAACATGATGAAGACTCGGTTCTGCAGTGAGGAACGAGAGTTGTCAAGGTTCAAGTACATCAGACCAGTGACTTGAAGAGGTTAGCTAAAGTATAATTAAGATAGACCCAGGGCAAAACTTACTAAGGGCGACAGCAACGTGGCTGAAGATTCGGGTGAAGATGTAGTCAGGGGATCGCCAGAAAGACAGGAACATGCGCTTGCACACAACCATCATCTGATGCTTGAAAGGAGAAGCATATTCCTTCTCCAGCTCAGGATCGTTGACAGTGACCGCGGCACCAGCAGCCTGACGCTCGCGCTTCAGACGAATGATGGTCTCCTTGACGTCAGCAAACTCAGCACTATCCTCCCAGATATCGGCCCAATCACGGTCTCCAACGCGGGGAGCGCTACCAGCACCAATGGCTTCAAGCATGTACTCAGCAACGTTATCAGTAGGACCAGCTTCAGCACCGTGGCTCTTGAGATAGCTTCGCAGAACGTGAGCATCCTTGCCAATGTCGCCGAAATAAACGGTGCGACCACCGCGCTGGAGCAGAAGAAGGCGATCAAAGTTCTCGAACAAAGCGGCGTTCGGTTGATGGATAGTGCACAGAATAGCCTGGCCTGAAGCAGCGAGCTTCTTGAGGAAGCGGACGATGTTGAAGGCACTCTGACTGTCAAGACCGGAGGTAGGCTCGTCGAGGAAAAGCATCAGCTCGGGCTTGGCAGCAAGCTCGACACCGATAGTGACACGCTTTCGCTGTTCGACCGTAAGACCAAATTCAGGGGTTCCAATAATAGCATCGGCAATGGACTCCATCTCAAGAAGGGAGATGATCTCTTCAACATAGGCGTAGCGCTCCTCCATAGGCACGTGGAATGGCTGTCGGAGTTCAGCAGAGAAACGGAATGCCTCGCGGACGGTCTGAGTAGGCTCGTGAACATCGAGCTGTTCGGCATAAGAAGTAGATCGCTGGAAGGTCTTGCCTGGCTTCATAGCGTCGATGAGGATATCTCCAGAGATAACACCAATGTTCTTGCGAGCTGCGAGGACATCCAGAAGAGTAGTCTTTCCAGCACCAGAGGCACCCATCAGAGCGGTAAGCTCACCTGGGCGGACGTAACCGAAGACGTTGTTGAGAAGTCGGCGTTCGCCTCCTGGCACAGGGACATCATAGTTGAGGTTCTCCCAAGTGAGGACTCTCTCAGACTTGATGGTAATTTCGGATCCCTCTTCGTTGGACTTGTCCTTGGTTCGGGCATCCTTCTTAGCGGTGAGTTTCTCATTAAGAGCCTTCCTCTCCTTGTTAGGCTTAGCATAGACCTTGGCAGCGTTTCCTCCCATGCCAAAGTTGACGAACTCTCCGAGGACGACGTTGAGAATCAGGAAGAAGACAATAAGGGACATGACAATACCCCAGTTCCTCCAAAGATCTCCAACATGGTAAGAGAAGCCTTGGGCAACGTAGTCGCTGCCAGAGACGAGGGTGGTACCAGCCTTTGAACCAGCAAGCGTGCAAACTTGGTGATTGATATCGGTATATTCGGGGCCAGCGGGAATCAGACTGTCTGCTGTGCAGGTCATTTCCAGGGACTTGAACTCATTCATCATCATGGCGGAGAAGCTCAGTCCGAGGGGGTTGATCCAGAAGATCCATCGGAGCCAGACCTGCTCTTGTTCATATTGGATGATATAGCCAGATGTGACTACGAACAATGTGATTACAACAACAGCAAACTTGATAGCCTGATCAAAGCCCGGCGATATACAACCAATGATTCTGAAGAACAGAGTCATCGCAATGTTTCCCGATAGAATCATGAGATAGAATGTAAAGAAGGAACCGGCGTCTCGGACGAGATTGGTCATGAAATACACGATGATACTGAAGACCAAGATCTGCGAGGCAGCAAAAACCTGGTCGACGAAGATCTGAGCAATCCATAAAGCTGACGGTCTGTGGAACGCATAGGCCTTGTGCTTGTTCACAATCGTTCTGCCGGTCATGGTACTAGCGAGCTCCGAAAAGGCCTGGAAAGCGTTGAACAGAAGGGCGACGAAGAGCAGACCTCCCTTGCTGAAGGCACTAGCTGAAGTCTTTCCGAGATTGAGGTAGAGGGTTCCGAGGACAATGGCGATAACGATGCTGCGGAACCATCCGACAAAGAGGTTGAATCGATCCTGCAGCTTGAGAGTAAACTGGCGCTTCATAAGGGCCCAGACCTGCAGATGGAAGCCAACTTGGTAGACTGAGCGCTTGGATGTTCCACGCTTTCCCTCCTTCACAGCGAGCTGGAAGTTATTATGCGTTTCCTCTTCAGATGCGAGAGAAGCCTTATACTCAGCCATCTCGGCTTCCAAGGACTTGAAAGCATCAGATTTCTTGAAGGCCTGCTCAAGAGTCTCGGGGTCGTGAGGGGTGTTCTCCTCGGAGCGTCCAGGGGCGTACTCTCTTTCGAAGGCATCCGTGCAGCCGGTCAGGTAGTCGGCGCTGGTCTGGCGGGGACGAGGGGCGAAACCAAGGCTCTCGAAGTAGCTGCGGGCAGAGGCAGCGGGACCGAAGTAAACCTCCTTACCACCATCGATAACCATAACCTTGTCGAAAAGGTTGTAGATGTTCTCGGAGGCCTGATACAGGGAGACGAAAGTGGTGGTCTTGTACAGGTTGGTCTGGATTCGAAGGGACTTGGCGAAGTCGAGAGCAGTACTGGCGTCGAGACCTCGAGTGGAGTTGTCCCATGAGAAGACGGCACCGCTGCAGATCATAGCCTCTGCGATACTGACACGCTTTCTCTCACCTCCACTGACTCCGCGGACGAAATGGTCACCAACGATGGTGTGGCGGGTATGCTCAATATTGAACATCTTGAGAAGCGTGGTAATAACGCTCTCCTTAAACTCCTGCTTGGACATGTTTCCAGGTCTCAGCTTGGGCATCTTCGTATCAAGAGCAAAGCCAAGAGTCTGCTCAACAGTAAGGGTAGGGTGGTGAATATCGTCTTCGGCGGAGTAAACAGCTTCACCACGGTACTGGTCGAATTCGGTGTTCTTCCACTTTCCGTACAGAACCTCGCCCTCAACTGCGGTGTAGCCCCAGCGCTGGTTGGCGATGGTCTTGAGGAAGGTGGTGCATCCTGAGCCGGGTTTGCCTAGAACAAGGACCATCTCGCCGGGCTTGCAGACACCCCTGAACTTGTCGAGAAGGGCGACCTGCTCAGGCTTGGGACCAAGACCAAGCATTCGAATAACAGGAGTGATAACGTCGAAGAAGTTGACAAAAGCATCGGGGAAGGTAGGCACATAATTCGACATGCCACCATAGCCCTTAACAGTCAAGTCATTCCAGTAGACACCAATGTGCTTGGACTTGATGCCAACCTCCCTCTCGCGATCAAGACCGCCGCGAAGAGCAGCCTCAAGATTAAAGATGGACTCGACCTCATTGTCTTCAGCGTGAGCATTCTTTTCAGGGTCGCCAACACTGGCTCTGCTCTTCCTCCTACTGGCTCTTGAGACGCCAGTAAATTCTCGCTGAAGCTCAGCGAACTCAGCCTCAGCTTGCTCAATGGATACGCCACCGTTGTTTTGCTCAGCTGGGCCGTGGCGTGTCGAGTCGGTATCGATAGAGTTGCGATAAGCAGGATCAGCCTGCTCAGTGTGGTGGTTGGCAGCAATAGCCTCCTCAGCCTTTCCAAGGTCTTTTTCCGCCATGGTGACTTATATCGGTTGGGTCGTGCGTGTAAGTCGTTTTTTTAACTGGGAGCCCAAAGTCACCCGTCGCGAAAAGGAGTAGTACACTGAGATGAGCTCAGTTAAAATGGCGTTTTAATTAGAAGAATTATAGGAATAATGAAATAATGATTATTAGACTAACTTATATGATACAGCAGCCAATGTGTTTGATCACAGGCTCACTGTTAACAAAACAAGAGAGGAAGAGGGCGCATGGGAAAAAGATGCCGACATCCCGCACTATAAAGTCAACAAAGGTGCAGCCAAGCCAAAAAAGTTAAAATGGGTCTATATTCTCCTTTGGAACAATTTGATCCGGCATTACCAATCAACAATACGAAGCGTCCGTTGAAAAATGTCCGCCGGTAGGGGTAGGCAGGGGTAAAGTCGGCTCCACCAGCTGGGAATTGCTTCAGGGAGCTTCCACCTGAGTCAAGTGGACGAGTAAGTCAGCGCCGTGGGGCAGATGTGCAGGATTTGACTCATCTCGGCTAAGAACCCAAGGCAAGGCCGAGGTGGGAAAGAGTCTGATTGGTTTGGTGAAATAAGGTAAAGGATTGACGGGGAAGCTAGGGGGACTATTTAACTTTGCTTACGACTTTTAGGCGTGTATATCCGAAAATCTCGGGTTGTGGGGGTCTCTGAACTGATGAAAAGAGCTATTCTCAACATAAGTTAAATATGATAATAAGTTATTCTTCTTGTTCACAGACATATTCGGATCCAAATGCCGTGTCAAACGCTTTTGAGTTCATCGCTGCAACGCAACATTGAAACCCAACCCTCGGGTATCATATCCACCCAATCTCGCTCTGTGGATCAAAAACAGTGGAAACGCCAAATGCTAAAAAAGGGCAACGGTTAAATCTCGTCCAACTCTCGCCCGGCGCGGTCCCTTAAGTCCGAGAATACAAGTTCTGAGTGGCTGCTTTGATTCAGCACTTTACGATCATTTCGACTCATATCCAAAGATGGAATAGTACAGATATCGGCAAGTCAAGAGGTTATAAGACATGCATCGGCATGACACATTAATTCTTTGTTATATTGCAATGCAATCAGAAAAAACAGAAGTGAGTGATCGGATGAATCTCCCCGCGATGAGATCATCTTACCAAGATCGTTTGGAGATTCACGTTCACGATCACTTTTTCATGATATGATATCTCAGCTTCACATGGCGACGGATCCTTGTCATTCCTCTAATCAATCTGAACAGGGATTAAACGGCGCGACCCACCCGTAAGCACCGTTTCAGGGGACAGTCTTGTAGAGGTCTTGTCCGGTTTACTGCGGTTCTCGACGATCTCCGCCTCTTGTCCGGTTTCTAGTCCGTTCTTCGTCCGCCGCCATCGGCCGAGTGAAACTCGGCCTCCCTTGTCAAAAGAGGTACTGCCGAATAATTTAGAAGATTCCTGGAGTTTTGTGGAATTGCTGCTGTAATTTTTAACTCTGATCTAAACTTTTGTACACAATGGCAGGATCTTGATGATGAAATGCCTGTTCAAGGTTAGTGTGACTATATGATAAGATCTTTAATTCTGGCGATATACGTACCTTAGTACGAGGCTTCCATCATCGTACTCGGTTACAAGCCTCAGTCAGCGACTGTTGCCCTCCTCGCTTCAACATATCTTTTCGTCTGGGATTCTCGACGAATCTTTGGACACGTCCTGAGCTTGGTTGCTAGTGCTCAACCTAGGCCTATCAATTGGGGACTGCTACATTCAGAGCCAGCGTGTGACGTTTGGTGGCATCTAACTAAACAGGTACGTAATGGACTCATATGAAGCAAATGTACTAGAGATATTGATTGCGATAACCTTAGCAAACAGGCCATCTCCTTCGGGTTTGGATATGAGTTCATCACCTGGATCATTAAAGACGGGTATGTGACAGTAAAGACTCTTTCAAACAAAGCTGAAATACTCGTTGTGGTCAATCTACGCTTTGTACAACAAGAATAGCGCAAGTTTTCAGAGATCAAAGTTCATCAAAGGAAGCATGAGACAAGACGAAATCAATCGACCAATCGTCGCGAACAAAGAACGGATGCGTCCTAAAAAAAAACTGCTCGGTTCGTGCTTGATGCACTCAATCTCAAGGTATTTGGAGCCGGTTTCTGGTGACTAATTTATTGTTGAACAGTATATGAGCCCTGTTGCCTTAGGCCCTGATGTAGGGACCTTACGTTTTTGAGGCTCTTGGTACAGTAAGGTAGTTTTGTACGACATCTGGCCAATCGTCGATGGTTCATTACCGACACCGTTCACGATTCGACAATTAACAATGCGTTTCCAGGCTACGATTGGAAACGCAGCTTTGCTTCTATGAAATGCTGACTCCTAGAAATTCGTAAAGCAAAAGGAACGGTGTAGTGGAGAGAAAGTCAACATAATATCACATCATTACTGTTTATCACGCGTTACAAAGGAGACGTAACAGCCGTCTACTGGAGCCTCATGATACGCGTCGTTTCTGGACATGGGACAAACCTGAACGTCTTTGAGGCATTCAACTTTCGAAGTTGCTTGTTGTTTGCCTCTTTGAAAGCTCGACGGTTGGTCGATTTGCCGAGTAAATGTAGCAAGCCGTAGTTTATGCCTTGCATAGCATGACCAAGCTTTGTGTCAGCGGAAGGTGATATGTTCTTATATTCAAGCTCTGAACAAAATGGAAACATGAAGATACTGGTGCTGATGTACGGAAGGTTACATGCGAACAACGCATGGCATGGCTTAGCACGGCTCTCAAGTGGTACGGACAATAGCATCAACATTTGTCCAAAGAAATCTTTTCAACGCAAAAGCATAATAAAACAAGATAAGGGATTAACAGATGTAGAATAAGAGGAGCAGATAGGAAAGATAGGAACTGACAGGACACAAGACCTATAATAAGAACCGGTCAACAATAGCACTTCGTTTGGTAACAAACTGTCGTTTGAGAGAAGGTTCAGGGTTTGAAGCAACATAAACGCAAAAATGGCACATATCGAAACACTTGGACAAGAAACTTCTGGTTTTATCTGCTGCCTAGAATGAGGCTTGTATTGTAAGTCAGTCATGATGATGACCGAAAGACCTGCAAGTCTGAGCACAAACAATGGCGTTGCTGGAGTTGTAAGAGTCACTGATTCTGCGAAGACAATGGCGATTGTTTGTAGGCTTCAAGCTACGCCAGGGACATCGTTACCCTCTTCTTTGCTGCTGAGACCAGGCTGTGTTTTTATGTAAAACAACTCGAACATACTGATATGCTTCTGGGTATCTCATTAGCTTGAGCCGGCTTAGGGGTGTGAGAAGGCTTCGGAGGTTGGGGGCCTGGTGATGTTGGTGAGCGATGCAGCAACTGGTGGTGAATTTGAGTCGGTATCAGGCATCGTCGGCTTTCGGCTGCACAACCTACGAGCTTCGCTTGTGCTTGAGTGGCAAACAAGATTATGGATGTTGTGAATCAGAGTGAAAAAATGGATAACAATAGGAATCAATTGGAAGTGAAAACAATGCGCAGTTGCCAATCAGTCACAGTGTGATGCATCCGTCACCGATTTCGTTTGTGGCAGTGAATCAAACAGGACAGCCACAGTGAATCAGTCTATAAACTGAAGAACAAGAGGCATCGTTTGAGAGTGACTCAATGTGAAATCACCGTTTGGTGCCAATAACCATGGGCCTGAGATTCTGCCTATAAATACCGAAGCTCCCACACCTCTGCCCTTCTCTCTTCTCTTCCCTTTCTCCTCAGCCTTCTTTTCTTCTATTACCAACATCCGCAAAGTTTTCCTTGGCTACGAGCACCTTCTCATTTGACTTCAGGCTTGGTGCCTTTCTATTACTCCCAAGTCAACACCGCTTTGACTCACCACCAGTTCTTACCCCTTCGACACCCATCTCTGCAAGCCAACGGGCTTTGCGTTGAACGACCCGCAGCTCGGATACAAGTTTCACTGGTTCCTTTTCGACCCTTTCTCTTAGTCAGTAGAACTCTCTACTACAGCGTTGTACGTCGCTAGTAAGTAGCCCTTGCAACTCACTCGCAAAGCTAACAAGACTCTGGGACAGTCGTTGCCAAGATGGCAACAACTACCTCGATCGACCGGCTTCTACTCACGCAGCTCCCTACCGACCTGCCGTGGCCCCAAGGAGCGGCTCGCCAGATGTGGGCTGTTGAGCTCAAGCGTGATTGGAAATATCTCGACACGACAAACGATGTACCCGGTGCTTGGAGGGGCAGGATGCCACCAAACCTATTGGTAAACGGCCGCCTCCCACTCTTCAAGAAGGAACCAGGTTATATGTTCTTTCGGGGCAAGTCCACTGCCATGGTATTCTTTTTCAAAGGCACCAAAAAGATCCCAGGTAAGCTGCAGTTTATAACCTGGTGCTTGCATTCACAGACTAACGATCTAATCTAGTGGTCCTCCCTCTTAGTATCTTGAACATCGGGGCCAAGTTCCGTACTTTGGCTGAGCAGACAGTCGAACTACTTCCGGCCCCGGTTTCTTCTTCTTTTGTACCTCAGACACAGAGCGTCACCCACAACAACGGTTCGATACTTGAGCGATTCATCCGAACACTTTGGTCGACATTTGCGACCGTGCCCAATCAACTCAGAGCATTTGGATTCACAGATGAAGACCTCACTCTTTGCTTCGGTGGACAGAATCTACGACACAATGTTGATGCTCTGTGCGCAGCTTTCATCCCTGACGTCTTGAACGTCCTCAAAGACGGACGGTTCTCTCTCAAGAACATACTGGATCTCCGACACATTTCGCTAGACTGGCCTAATCGTCCCACTATCTACCTACGAGTTTATACACACCCCCGAGACCAACCTAACGGGACATACCGCGATGCCTCCCAAGCCGACATTAACCATTATGTGGGCTTCTACGTTGGTAAATCTATCAACCCATGGTACCGACACCTTCACCATGGATATGTCACCGATTCCGAAGCTCGGCGTTCTGGAGGGGGGCACTACGCAATTGCACGAAAGTCACAAAAGGAGCATCGACATATGATCCCTCTTATGACTTTTGATGAAGGCACTCCTCCTCATCTTATCAAAATGGCAGAGCAAACAATGATAATTGTACTTCGAACCTACCACAATGCATGCTTTCAGCCAGTCGACATGAACTCCGAGGGAAGTTGGGTTCAAATGCAGTGCAAAGCTCAATTCATGCATTCTATCTCACGTTTCGCAGTATCAGCGACAGGTTGGCCCAAAATAAAGCCCCGTGGATGCAACTTGAGCTCCCCCATGTTCGAAAGTGCCACTGCGGGACGAAATTATTTCGACTGTTTCCCTATGGTCCCAGGCAAGGCATCAGCTCCTGGTGACGTGTCGGCTCGCACCTTTACCACCTATCGAGTCCGGAAAACGCCGAACACGCTGAACGTGATCCCCATACGTTTGGTCAATGAGCAAGGCACTGGTCGCAGTGTAGTGTTTAGATTCCACGGGGCGGTTTCTCAGTTACCAGGCCCAAAGCCATATGATGCTAGATATGGTTACCTCGTCTTTGAAGTGATGGATGATCATAAGCCACATGATCATGCTTGGCTTGGCGTCCCATCCGTAGGCCAGTATGTCAATTTTGATGAGGCATCTTGCTTTTCCGTCGCATACGAGTGGTTCGACCAAGGACAACAAACGTGGCTCAGTATGCCAATGTATCGTTCGAAAAAGAGCACCAATACGATGGCTGCCTACGTTAATAACCTCAACATTGAAGGAGTTTTGAAACCCTGGCGTGTTGCCATGGATATCCTTCAAGCTTTAGAGGGGCGAGTATACACAGAACCACTCGAGGGGTTCCCCAAGAAATGGAGCATCGTGAATGCCAGAAAGTTGGAGACCAATCACTTGGCCCAAACGTATCGATGGGTCTCTCTGGAGTCGAGCGCTCCTCGTCCTGTACCAGCGTATGCGACTTGGGATGACAATTTCCGATCAGTCAGACGCCTGTTCGGCACGGATCTAACCCATATTGCAACCACGGGGCCCTTCAAGTTCACTTCCGATGTCATGAATCGCGTGGCTAGCGATAACCGACAGAACACAGTGGTCGCACACCAGTGTGATACATGCATATACATCGGAGCACGCATCACATGCGTACGCGATGAGAGCAGGACTGATGTCTGGGTTTGTACATGTTGTTCTCTCTTCCACAGGCCTTGCACGTTTACAGCGTTCAGTGATAAAGAGCAGCTTTGGGGAACTGATCTGCCACACATTCCCGACTCCAGGCTTTCTGAGCACCCGACAGGCCCGCACCGCTTCCTGGCGTACCACAATTCTATGACTGTTGCGCAGCTGTGCGAGGCAACCAGAGTGCCTATCCCTCTATCTGAGCATCTCTTCGAGGAGGCGGAAGGGGAGGAAGGTGGTGGTGAAGGCGAGCAGGATGACGGCGATGTTGACAGTGGGGAAGAGTGAAGTCGATTTGATATTCCTTACGCGGACCCGATTACATGTCAACAGCAATAATACTGTTGACACCAGAGGCCTACAGACAGTTGAAAGAGCTTAGCAGGAAGTTTCATTGTTGATACAGTCAACTTAGATAGTTAATGCCACCAGAATTCAACTGTGAAATGACTTGAATTGCAAACGTGAGATGCGGACTTTCGCTTAATTATTGTAATCGCTGGCGAAATCATATTCTTCATGCTTTATTCCAAAATGCTCGATGATTGCCTGATAAGACGTCAAGCCGTTCGCAGAGTGCTGTTGTTCGTGTGTGTGCGATATGTATCGAGAAGACTGAAGATGGTTTCTCAACGCTCTGACAACAAGGTACTGATACGTTATACTTACGACCAGGGATATCATATGAGCAACTTTCATGCCTAAAATGTCCATTACACTGCACACACTAAGGTTAAGCCCTTTTGAAGCTCGACCCCCTTCTTCATGGTGGCCCTGATCCTAAAAGGGAAGCTAGGATCCTCAAAATCAAGAAGCTGAGATTGAGTGGGATTTATCGACTATCAACAGTTATGGCGGCATTTCCATCATGTACATGGGCTGATGAGGGTCCATTTGTAAGGGAGGTAGGCAATGATACAGCCCGACCGGGTCGTGGGATGACATCCATCGGACCCCGGAAGGTAATTGGTGGGGTTACGGCTCAGAGCTTCACGTCCTTTTACTGTAGTAACGTAATTTAGGTTCTTATTTACTATAAGCTGTTACTTTTATTAATAATTTAATTAAAACTCTGATTTTATAATCTAGTTGTAAAACTTTGGCTTAAATTTGAAGAGTACTAGAGACAAATGGGACAGTGAGTTCTCAACACTTGAGCTCCACCGTCCGTTCGCACGGCCCGGCCCGCACCCGCGATGAAACCTTAGAATTGTTGTTTATTTTCCCAACTACATGAGACCCTCGTTGGATTGACCACAGAACCCCTCGACTTTTAGAGCGTCAAGCGGCCGATTATGAGTGAAGTACACGGGCTAATCAACGATGCTTCTAGTATTCTTTCATACATTGCCATGCATCGAAAATATTTCAACACTTCACATAGAGGACGCGAAGGGGGGCATCATGAATGAAGAAGATCTGAGAAATTTGCCAGTTGGTGGGCCGTGTCTGAGCATCCGGTTTACAATGAGTGCACCTGCGAGGCCTGGCAATGACCGATCGGAGGGCATAACATTGGTTTGTGAACAAAGTCGATCTGATAATCGCAGCAGATGATTATTTATTCCATGATCCAGAGCAGTCAAGCTTGCAGTTCGGGGGGACCAATAGCATCGATATCCACACACTCAATAAGAACTTCACAAATTTGGGGGCCGTTGCGTTCTTTCACATGAGAAGGGATGCAGGAATACATACGTTTCCACAGATACTCGGCAAATTTGGCGGCCAAGCCTTCTCTGTCATGGTGTTCCTTACCAAACACGCAAAAGACACCGACATCTTTGCTCTTCCCCAAGACATATCGGCCAATGCCGTGGAAGGGGAATGGAGGATTGACATTTTAGACACTTGATGTTTTATACACTGAAACAGTGCAAAGAATAGCGGACATTCGCTCGAAAACGCATATAAAAAAGAGAACATATCTGGAGTGAAGAGAATCAGACTGGCCAGTCTCGAAGGAGGAACAGCAGTCTTGTTAACAATAAAGCTACAGGAACAGGGCTTTGGATATTTGATGATTATATAAATACTCAGTATCAGCGTTTTATGTTTACTCGTGCCATCGCGTGTTCTTGACCATTACGAATTTCCTCGAAACTTCCTTCTGTTCCCAAAGAGACCCCCCTTAAGCCAGGGTAAACTCCAACATAATCTCAATTCTGGTGCCTTCTTGACTAGATCTTTGCAGCATTTACCCCTAAATAGAAATTAACAAATCTCAAATAATTGTATCATGGTAGAAGAGGAAACTGTCAAGACGGAGGTCAATATACTTTATTTGTCAGTATTCCAACGATAGAGTGAAGTGTTTCGGATCAATTTCGCTATCACAAATCAGAGTGACGCGCGACGCTTTACCTGGGATCCGATACGACATTTATTCTTCACGGAAAAACAAAGATTACTTCAAGTTATCTCTCATGAATGTCTCCCAAACATGAACTGTTATATCCCATTGGCGGCAACCTGAGTTTCCGGGCGTAAGTGTGAGGCGGGCCGCTCCTTCCTTCCAAAGAATTGACCGGTGTGCCTGCCACCTTCGTCGTTCCTTCCACATGAGCGATGCAGGAGAAATTTGAGATTGGGTAAGGTACCGGAAGACACAAATGTACCTAGGTACCTCTGGTAGGTAGTCTAGAGAAATTGAAACCATTGAGATGAGCCTTGAGCTGGAACTTGTCACCAATTTTACCAGTAATTGTCCATGATCGTACTGAGATCATAGTACCAGACTTTCTTTTATTTTCACACCTATTTTACTATCTTACAATGGCAACTCAATCATTGGTCAATGACCTCGAAGAATGGAAGATTGTCGACGAATCTTTGGGGATGGACCTTCCTGATAATGATGAACCAGACATGTATCAACCACCAATCCCTCCACCACCTCCTTCCTCGCCACCTATCCCAAGTGAGTACTTACTAACATATATCTATAAGCTTATAATAAGCTTATATTTGCTTATTAAAGGGAGCATGGCGCTAATAAATATTATAATAGTGAGTGAGCTAGTGGCTTCAATTGAAGCTCAAGCCAAGCGAGCTGGTGCTGCTGCTCGACGGCATCTTCTGGGGCCCGAATACGCCCATCTCCCCAATGTACAACTTGACTGGTCACTCGTGGGCCGGGATATTTGTCGTGTTGTTGGCATGACATGCCATGGCAAGAGGTTGGGCTCTGGTCATCTGAGGAGGCATGTAAGAAACAAGACACACCAAGTAAGTTTCAAGTCATCTACTCTGCAAGTTACCTAGTTATGAATACTGATTAGGAATTGAATAGAAATACAATGACAAACTTCCTGCTGCGCAGACCGAGCCAGCCTCATCTCTATCTGCTGCCAAACCACCGACCCCTGTCGCGCCTGCCCCTGAGATGGTGACACCAGTTGAGTTAATGGATGTTGAAAGCGGAATCCTCGCAGAAAGAGCCATAAATACCACGCATTCTGCAAGGGAGAAGGGGGATGGAAAATCTGGTGGAAAAGCCACTAAACGTCCCAGGCTGGCCCTGGGAGCTACAATTCCAGATTCGGAGGGTGAGGACGAGGAGGATGTTTTCTACCATGAACCAAGCCCGAAAAGACTTCTCAGTTCCACGAGAACTTCAACGAAGCGACTTTAGTTTACCTCCGTACGTCGCGCCAGATCCGACTACTCGACCTTGAGGCCAAAAGCCCACTGTAGTAAGTTTTAGTTTGCTACGGACCGAGAACGGAAATCTGACTCTTCTAGTACGCATTTCACGGACACAATCAAAGGTGTTGCAACTATTCGGGCCTTTGGGTGGCAACAATTTGACATTGCCCATAGCAACAAACTTCTCGACACATCCCAGCGCCCAGCGTACCTCCTGGCAATGATTCAACAATGGCTCGCCACATTGCTTCACTTCATCGTTACAGGCACGGCCGTTCTTCTCATCGCTCTTGCAACTCAGCTTCGAACCAATGCAGGTTTGACTGGCGCCAGTCTTATCTCTCTTCTGACCTTCAGTGAAGCCTTGTCGAACCTCATCACTAGTTACACTTCCCTTGAGACGTCGCTAGGCGCTGTAAGTCGGTTAAGATCCTTCAGTGAAACTGTTGAGACAGAGAACAAACCTGGGGAAGTTATCAAGCCCCCCGAGACCTGGCCTCAGAGCGGCAGCATACAAATCCAGAAGGTCTCAGCCTCTTATGAGTCCCCCAATAGTGAGCAACAAGAAGCTTCTTCTAGCTTGGCACTATGTGATCTCGAGCTGGACATTTTGCCAGGTCAGAAAGTCGCTATTTGTGGCCGTACAGGAAGTGGAAAGTCAACCCTTATTCTTCTCCTCTTACGTCTCATCGATCCTCTCCCCTCTTGTGATTCGAACATGAAGATCGACGATATATACCTACATCAAATAGACCGCGCTACCTTACGCAAGCGCGTCATCTGCATTCCTCAGGACGCAGTGTTTCTCCCGGATGGCAGCTCTGTCAAAGACAACATCGACCCTTACAAGGCAGCCACAGACGCAGAATGCTTCAACGTTCTCAACACGGTGCGGCTAGCAGGCTTTGTCCAAGATAAAGGCAGCCTCAACGCTGGTATGAGCGCCGATGATCTCAGTGCTGGACAAAAACAGCTGTTTAGCCTTGGTCGAGCGATCCTTCGTCGTAGGGTGCGCGATCGCTTCGCTGGGGGTGAGAAGCGAGGTGGATTGCTGTTGCTTGATGAAGTAAGCAGCAGTGTCGACAAAGTAACTGACAGGGCTATGCAAGAGATTATTCGTGAGGAATTTGAGAATTATACAATTGTCATGGTGTCTCATCGACTTGAGATGGTTATGGACTTTTTCGACAGAGTTATTGTTCTAGATAGGGGTACTGTTGTAGAATCTGGTGGGCCAAGGGAGCTCGTTGAGACGCCGGGAAGTCGATTTGGTGATCTTTGGGCTGTTGAGCATGACGGCAGGTCAGAATAGTATTTGTTCTTGTGGTCGCTTGAGGATGCCATATGGATGGGCCAAGTCACAATATCATGATCCAAGATTTATGACTTCAAGACTGCTGCAGACCATCACATACTAAGTTTGCATGATGTTAGCTAAAATGGAGAACTCATGATTTATGATAGTATTTCGCCGGCTGTATATTATATCGGCTGCCTAGCCATGAATGAAAGGAAGGGAAATTTCCCAGTTACGCCTTGTAAGCAATGTTTCATCACGGGCTCTAGTTAGCCCCCTTATGCAATCCGTCAAACGCCAGGCCATGCTCCCATGTGTGTTGATGCTTTCTTATGCTAATGGTGTTGTATCTCGTCCAATCGTTATGTGTCGTGTATGCTATGCGTCATGGTGTCCCCAGGAACACCCGTCTCACGCGTCTTCCCTAATCGGCCTTTGCGAGTTCAGGGGTTTCCGGGCGTGAATGTTTAAGTAAGGGAAATAAGTATGGAACTTGGGTAAGCCGTTAACTTCCTGAGTCAATGACTTTCGGACTTCGACGAGGAACATCTCGATCTGGAGCAACGTCCAGCCAAGACCATCGCGAAGCGGTTTTCGAGATAGGCCATGAAGAGACAACATAACGACATCTCTTAAAACATGACCACACTCTTGTAGTCGTTTCTTCTTTGCCCACGGACCAAGTGGACACTTGTAGGCTTTGGTTGTGATGTTTTCGAAGCCTGCTTCTTGTAGTTCAGGTCCCACGTGAGTAATGCCGTGCAGATCTGTGCCGAGGGCCATCATTCCTTCGTAGAGATATTTGCAATAGTCCCTCCAAGCATATGGACCGTCGCATGAGTCATCGTCGCAAGCTGCGATGTAGTTAAACTCCTGGATTTCGACATAGCCCCCTGGTTTTAGGTGTCTGCGTGAGAGTCAGCTTGCGAACAGATAAAAGCGAGCGAATGTCATACTTCCAGATTCGTTCCCAGAGCAATTCTCGGTCTTTGATAGAATGAACTGTGTGGCGTATGTGTATGTAATCAAATGTCTCGTCTCCATAGGTCCAGCCAGCTTCGTGCTCTATGTCGTCGACAACAAAGATGGCATTCTCTGGGACCCAGTCTGGCTGTATGGGTGAAAGGTCCATGCCGTGGAATTGCGATTTGGGGTATATATCGGCAACTATTCGGGTCAGCAATGAGACTCCCGACTTGGTATGAAGTTTCTTGAGGTGGATCTCACGGTCAATGCACCATTTTCCGATGCCAGTTCCGAGGTCTAACACCTCTGCCCCTTGTTCCAATAGTTGCTCAATTGGCGCGAAGAAGAGTCTGTCATCACAAAGGTACACAGTCAAATTATGCTTGAGCTCCTCCCGATCCTGCTCGGCCTCGTCGTTGGGGAAAAGGTATTTCCCTGCATGGTAGCTGTGGTCTACTGTCAGCCATTGAGTAAGGACGGTTCGTATTCATCCGTACCTATGGTATCGCAAACCACCCTCTACAATGTGTTGTCGTATACTGTCGGTCAGACTTCGTGTTTCGTCGTCGTCGGTCGCATATTCGCCTTGCTCAATGCTATGTATAAGAGCCGCTTCGTGGGCCGAGCCTACAGCCAAAGGAGATGTCGTCGAAGACGCCGGAGATGGGGGCACCATATAGCGGGACTGATCTTTACCGGCGCTATTTCTGGGGTTGGAGGATGGAGAATCGTCGGATTGACGAGAGAATGAGTTTGGGGGCGAGTTCATTATCGTGAGCGCAGTGGCAGGGGTATGCGCATACCGCGGGTGATGATCGAGGGCCGACACAACAGAGTTTTTATGATGTTGCAGTCAAAAACAAACATTAAACAGAGAGAGTTTGAGCCGTTGAAGTAGGGACAGGAGATAGTCAGGGAGTAGAAGACGCTAAGGTGAGATTGAGCGGGATGGCGCTTTGCTCCGTAGATCGACCTGACGTCAGTAACCTTATAGCGGACAAGGCGCTATAAGCTTAGGGCTGTAAGTCAATGGAAGACGAAGCTAAGCTAATGTATGGTGATGTATTGGCTTTGGTGTTGATGACAATGAGACTTGGTTGGCATCGATATATAAAGAGCCAAAGATGAAGAGAAAGACTGATCAAGGGATCAGGGCAAGTAGAGTAGAGTAGAACAAAGGTCAGTTGAGTTGCTTTTTAAAAAAAAAAGAGACGGTAAACGGTAAGACCAGGCCAAGTTGGGTTAGAGAGAATCCATTCCGAAGAGACTAAAAAGCTACTCCATACTGAGAACGATAGCGAAAGGGAAGCTATCAAAGAAAAAAGAGGAGAAATATGCACGTCTATTAATGAAGTTGGGAAAGGATTGACACTTTTTACAGTTGGTTGGTGTGCTCATGACTAGTATATAAACCTCATAATATCATATCATATCATCACTTCTATAACAATGTCTGTTTGTCTGTGTATCACTGTGATTGTGACTGTGACGGATGACATCGCTACCGAGAATCTGGAAAAATTACTCTCCAAAAATACAGTACAAGAATGTGGCTGTCCCCAGATGACCTAAAGAGGGGACCAGTTCCAGTCTGTTGGTACCGCTCAGAAGCCTCCAGGCAAATCATAACGCCTCAATCCACATTCAAGTCAATCAGGAGCAAGGGTTTTCATGCAGTCGAGTCTGGCGGTCACAGTCACACACACACACACAGACACAACCTCCACCTTTTTTTCCGTTTCCTTTTCGACTCCGCATCAAGGGTTACACTGACATGAGGGGTCTTGGGCATGAATTATTCTGAAGAGAACCTAGATTCGACATTGTTTATCAGGTCAATTAACGATAAATTAATCAGATAAAATAAGATTATTTATAAGCAGGTATTGTTAAGACCACTTGTCATCAAGATCCATGTATACATAACAGCCAAGGCTCTGGGTATTCCAAGCTTGGGTACTGTAGCCAGACCTTGTCCATGAAGCCCATGTCAGGCATCTTGCACCATCCAACGAGAACAAACCGAACCAATCAAGGATCTCGGGCCCTGGCACTTTGCTCCGAAAAAGAATCTTGCTGTTTCTGGACACTAGACAAACAAAAATATGCTGTGATTCTTCAAGTCAGTCTCATTCATATATCCAACTCTGTAGCTCTCTATCGGCTCTAAATGAATGGTATGGTTGAAACGATGTCAGCACGATAAAACACTATCAAGATAAACACCTCGTAAGCATCTTCATTCAAGCTCAGACCGCAATTACGTATCCATCCTTGTCGTACCGACACAAGGGATAAGGCCCGCTGTTGTACAGCATCATGTTCCATTTCTCTGCACCCAGCCATTTAGCATAAGGTCATCTTCACCAGAAACAGGCTTTACTCCGCTCTTGCGACAGCTCTGAGCCCGAGACTACCCGTGCAATTCTTGTTTAAACCTCACGTTTACATATATACCATTTATCAAGCTGTCAATCACCAGACATTAGGAACTATATCATATTCCCTTGACGATAAGAGCTTACAACTGCCATAAACGGTCTTGCATTAATGCTCACCGTGCACGATGCGGGACGGGTACCCTTGAACCCTGGATCGAAGCGTGATGTGATGGATATTAACCGAGCGAGTTGCGAGATGCTATCACCAAGCAGGGGTGCATGCCCATCAGTTCGCATCTCTTACCTTATAGCCCTAAGCTTTATCGATTACCCTCATTTCACTGCTGCTATTGGACACTACTAGGAGTGCCATTCTTCCAGCAATCAGGATACTATCGTGAAATGCGGCTGCCTAGAGACCAGGTATTTATCCATATTAAACTTTCCAGACCGCAACAACATCTGACTAGATACGGGTTGCGAGAAGGACTTCAATCGACATGCTTGCAACATCAACTGTAAAAAGCATTGCGGGCGCTGACAAGGCTGTTGGTCACGTTGCTATCAGTATCACATCGCCAAGCCAACACTTCACGAAAGCAGAGCATAGGAACTTTTTACTCAATGCAACCCAAAGTTTGACACCTCTGGCCATTTAGAACCTGTTTATGAGCACGAGGTGATTGATGTTATAGTGTCGCGGCTAATTGCTAAAAGTTGTCTACTGTCATATTCTCTCTCTAAGATCGAGATACGATGAATCTCCACTACATATCGTTCCAGACACAAAAAGAAATTATACTGCATATGAGAATCCACTTCATGGCTGGCCAATTGTGTTGCTCTACGACAAGCTGTCAGACGGCTTCTCCTGAGGCTGACTTACACGACAGTCCCCTGCATATTCCTCCTGTAAGGAACCGGCTTTAGAGACAGTCTCCCTTACTTTCATGTAAGTCTCAAGATAAACGTATCAGAGATGATCCTATTCAATCCAGCCACAGTAGAAAATCACAATTGTCAGAGAAAAGAAAGAGTAGAGAGAATCACTGTCACATTAGAATCCTCTAAAAGTAAGAATAAAGTCATGAAGCCATATTAAAGCCGAAATACTACTGATTTCTAATCGCCAAAAAGGTACCACCATCGAAATGGACAGCCGAGACCCTAATCTATCGTACAAGATATCGCAGAGCCAGATCTCCCCAAATTATAATCGACTGGTGTTAAGAATAAACCAAGAACGTTAAACGTTACACATATGCGTGTTTTGTTGCTATCAAGAGCAAAAGACGTGATGAATGCTGAGCTTTGCCGGGCAAGAGACTCCGGCATCTATGAGAGAAAAGTCCCAAAATCCGGGGAGAAAGAAGAAGAAGGTTTTGCTTGTTCAGTTCCTTTACAGGACGAAAGCAAGACCGGCGATGGCAGCGGCCACACCGGCGAAGGTCTTCTGGGCAGCACCGGCGGTCACAACAGGGACCTCAGGCTTGGAGCCAGTGCCAGTGGTCTCAGGGGTCTCGGGCTTGGAAGGAGTAGAAGGAGTCTCGGGCTTGGCGGGAGTCTCAGGCTTAGCAGGAGTCTCGGGCTTGCCGGGGGTGACAGGCTTGGAGGGAGTCTCGGGCTCGGGGACGACAACAACAGGAGGCTTGCCGGAGGTGACAGGCTTGGGAGGGGAGACAGGCGCAGTAGGCTTGGCGGGAGGAGAGACGGGCTTGCACTCGCCGTTGGAGCACTTCTCGTAGGTGTAGCAGTCGTCCTTGCACTCATCGAAGTACCATCGGTTCTCATCGACGTCGCAGACGAACTTGCGAGCGTAGTCGACAGAGTAGTGCTGGTCACGCTGGCACTCGTTGCCGTAGCAGACGATGCGCTGGTTGCACTCATCGCCAGTGTAGTCGGCATAGTGGCACTTTCCGCTGTTGCAGATCTTGAGCTGGCTCCAGGTGTCGTCGTAGCATTCACGAGGAGCGCAGAGGCCGTCCTCGCAGACGATCTGCCACTTGGTGCATGTAGGGCAGTGGACCTGAGGAGCACAGTAGTTACCGTAGCAGATGATGATGACATCGGTGGGGATGGCGGGGAGAACAGTGGTGACGGTCTGGGTGACGGTGGTGCCGTCCTCTGTGAAGGTGACGGTGGCAGTGGTGGTGACAGGAGGGAGGGTCTCGGTGACGAAGTCGGTGTTGATGACAGTGTCAGTCTCACCGGGGTTCACACCGATGGCGACGTAGACGGAGAGAAGAACGTTGACAGCGACCTGTCGGCGCATGAGGCGGTCGCCAGAAGAGAGACCACCACAGTTCTCATCCGAGTTGCCAGGGCAAGTGATGTCACACTGGTCAGTGTTGACAGCAGGAGAGGTGCTAAGGTCAAGCTCGTTACCACAGTAGCAGCTGTTGTCGTAGAGACCGAAGAAGTTGGAGCCCAAGCAGGCATCGGCACAACGCTCAGAGTCGTTCTCCTCAGAGGAGTAGGCCTGAGTGAAGCCAGGGAAGCCGTTCTCAGAAGAGAAGCATCCGAGGAAGTTGAAGCCGTCAGGGTTGCCAATGCCGCCAGCAGATGTGCTGGTAGCGGCACCGGAGGTCTCAGTGCCGGTGACATCGGTGCCAGTGGTGGCAGTGCCAGTCTCAATGGCTCCAGTGGTGGTGTTGGAGAAGCGGCCAGTGGTGAACTGGGCAGCGGCCAAGTTGCCCATGGCCAGGGCGAGGAGCTCGGTGTAACGCATTTTTGTGATGGTGGTTCTTTAGAGCGAATGACTGGGGTGTGTAACGACTGGAAAACAGCTCTCGGAAGAGAAGCGAGGGGATCGAGGGTGTTTGAGTTGCTTGATGATGAGAGTAGGAAAGAAGTTGAGCTTTGGACGGAATCAAGCCCTCTCTTTATACATGATCTGGGTCCCCTTGCCTTGGGGCTGAGATTGTATGGGTATCGTCCTAGGACCACAGACTAAGCCTCGCGCCGATAGTCTGTTCTGTCTGGTCCTCGACGAATGCATCGAGCCCCCCCAACGCAAACAAGTCCAGAGTTACTGTGCTGTGACTGTTGAGACATGGCGTTCCCGTCCCACAAGCAAAGAATGCAGTGCCCCTGACTTGACATGTCTCACTCCCACTCCACACTCTGAGGAGCTTGTTTTGGGCCCCAAAATCCCCGCCGCTTGAGAATTTGGCTCTGCAACACCTCGGGTTGTAAGATTACTCTGAATTCCAGATGAGAATACTGATAGCCTCTATCTCACTTGTTGATACGTGAGGCTGCTGACACGGTATTCTGCTGAGACACTCATCCCAATGCCGTGGCCTACCCTCCCTCAGAGGAGTGATTCCACATGTATCGAAGCGCTCTGAATTCCTCCATGTTCTACCGCTTCTTGGATACCGACGGCCCATCGGCATCACACTAATAGCCAAGAAATAATTTCTCCGCATGCGCGCGACCCATTCCTGGATGCGTCGAAAAAGAGCACTCGCTATCAGAGCACGCTTTCTCAAAGGTTCCCCTCATGTGGGATCTGGCAGAAATGTAACGAGGCCTAATCTCCATCACCCAAGAATGTACGTCATTGGTCACCAGAAATAGGCAGAGCAATATCTGGTGTGTTTTGTGGCTCCTTCAAAGGCGACTATACTCGCTTGAGTATCACTCACATAGCGTTTTCAGCAGTTGGAACTTGAGATCGGACAAGGCAAAAGATCAACCCTGTTTCGAAACCGTTTATCAGACCCCTCCCCCTCCCTTCGGCCGCCGCCGGATGCGAGCATTCTTTAGCACAATCCGGGGAAACAGGTTCTTCCATATCTCGAAAGCATTTGTGCTATGAGTGTTTTGTTTTGTTTTGGGTTTCTTGTTCATGTCCACAAGATCGAGACATTAGATTATCCATCCCGGAAGCTAACAGATGTCCCACTAGGGGGAAATTGCGTTCGTGAGAAGTGGAAGAAAGGTTGGTCTTACCAAGGGAGAGCTGAAAGCTGGTATGAGACATGAATCAAGTCTGACTTGTTGTGTTATGCGGGCCGATGGTTTTTGCGGAGGCCGCCGAGCCGGACGGAGGAGGTATAGGGTAGTTTTCGACAGTCCAATGCCAAGTCCATGACACTTGAACAACAGGAAATGATCAGGAAATGCCTCAAAATAATGGGGTGCTTGTTAAAGCTGATGTTTATTTCGACGTTTTTGGTATCGCCAAGCTTAATCTAAGTTTTTTTACTGCAGGAAGAGCTATAGCCAAAGCTTCAAGTTCTCGTATAACCTTGTAAGAAAAATATCACTGGAATTCACGGCTCGTATCAGAGATCAAACCTCAATTATTGATTGGCTAGAGCTCAATACACTTTCTAACAATTTTCATCTAACCCACTTCTTGCTTGGCGATAACTGACTTACATCGACTAGGAATCACCAACTCCACAGTCGATCCTTTGAATGCAGCTCATCCAAGGAACCAACCATGTCAGCATGTTAAGCTTGAGTTGACATGGATCACTCTCTGAGCCTAAACAAGCCGGCATTCGGTAGTCTCGGAAGCTCGCCAGAGCCCTACGACGATAGCCTTGTCTGTTTCCGGAGCTTACAGACTGATACTAACCAGTCGAGTCATACAATCACTTGATAGCTCTTGATTGATAACCTAGTGATGATGATCTTTCTATGACGTGAGGAGAAGCTTTAGCTACCGCACTCGTTCCAAAGTCAATTAATGCTTGGGCTGATAACATCAGGGAACTCCATTTCCAGTATCATCGCTCTCCGGATCAGAACTTGCCGTGCCAAGTCGTTGATATTGCAATCATGTACTACAAGATTTTCATGCAAGGTACAAAACACCCTTATTTGCGCCTCCGTTACACAACAGCACATCAGTATACCTAGACAAACATCTCCAAAGCTCCTTGTTCCTGACGATCAAATTAACGTGTGGCAACGTTGCGCCTCCTATGTTTGATCACCAACTGCAATGCTAAAATTGGAAAGCCAAGTAAAAGCTGCGACAATAACACTTGCTTGTGAGGAATGTTGGCAGCGCGTGCCGTTGGAGCCATTCCCGCTTCTCATCGGAGCCTATGTTAGTGGGCAAAGCAAGAAAAAAACGCCCACGATTCACTAATCTCCCCTGTCTTCGCTTCTGATGCCAGGGAGGGCTTTTATTTGTCGCCTTATGCAAGCCGCTTAATTTAATGGCTTGCAGAAAATTACATATTAAACTTTCTTATTTGACGTGTAGGTAGTTAAACTCAAGTCATCTCATTGTGCCAAGGCTCAAAGTAAGGGAGGGATACAATGTTTTTGTGTTTTGGGTTGGTCAAATCTTGCTCCCTTGCTTGGATAGTCTCACTTATCGAGTGTTAGTAAGTTCTTTACTTTTTCTTCAGTACGATCTAGCACTTTTGGACCCGATCTCGATGAGACCACTGAAATGTAGGAGAAACACACGTGAAATGTTGCAAGCCTTGGTTCTGCGGTATGCTCCAAGTGAGACACCAGACTTTGCCCCTTGGTTAGTTGCTTGGGCATTGTCGTTCCTGGGCTTTGAAAAAGATTGTTGCCCCTGTTTCCTTTGGAACAAAACAATTCTTATCAAAAACATCAACATTGATAGCGGCAGTGTAAGCATCATCCGTGTTCTTACCTTTTAGCAATTGAACTCACAAACTGATCTCTCTCCTTTTCATCATGACTGACAGATCCTATTCTTCAGATACCTGATAAGATACATGAGCCGAGATGTCATGAGCAGTTATTGTCAAGGCCATTTGCGCCTCGCCTGTTGTTACCATTCTTCGAGACTCCTCAGTGACATGCCCGCATCGGCCAACTGAGTTACTACATTGGCCCATGCTCAATCATATGCCTTACTTGCCTTGCGCTGTCAAGTACACACGACATTTGATATGCGATTCAGACATTCTCCTGCTTCAGTTCTGTTCATGATCATGACATGAACTCCAAACATCGTAACCCTAACCCTCCCCTCATCTCAACAGCCGTGTCCATCAACCGAAGATCTGCGGAGGAGGAGGGGTCATATGGAGACATGCTACTCTCAACGCAGTCATCATTGGGCCATTGATTGGTCCGGGTTTGCTTGGAGAATTACCCCCATGTCATGATGCCCATGATAAAAAGAGCCATGATGGCTACTCCCGCAGCCATGAAACCGCTCAATTGAACTCTCCTCGCGCTCAAAATGACTGTCACAAAGCTCCCCTTCCACGCCGACCACATCGGCTCTCTCATCCGCCCTGAGGCGCTGTCTCGCACCCAGGAGCAGGCCGATGCTGGTCAGGTCACTGCTGAGCAGCTCGCTGCGACGCAAAAGGCTGCTATTGCTGATATCGTGAAGAAGCAGCAGGAGCATGGAGTTCGCGCTATTTCCTCCGGCGAGTTCGATCGCAAGTACTACTTCTCTGGCTTCTTTGAGCGTCTTGGAGGTTTCCGCGAGGTTGAGCCTGTTCCCTGGGATCTTGTCCGTCTCTCTGCGCCTCCTATTGCTGCGCTGAAGAAGGCTGGTAAGCAGTATCCCATGGCTGCTCTCTGCGAGTCCAAGATCGAGTACAAGAAGAGCCCTTACCTTGATAACTGGAAGATGCTCCGCGAGTGCGTTCCTCGCGAGCAGTGGGCTGAGTGCAAGTTCACCATGCCTCCTCCTTGCTATTTCCACCTGCGACTCGCCTCTGGAAAGTGCTACAGCCCTGAGGCCTACTCTAACGATGAGGACTTCTTTGCCGATTTGGCCAAGGCTTACCGTCAGGAGTTCAAAACTTTGTATGATGCGGGCGTGCGAAACATCCAGATCGATGACCCCACCCTCGCTTACTTCTGCTCCGATGAGATGCTCCAGTCTCTGAGAGATGAGGGTGTTGACCCTGACAAGCTGTTCGACACTTATCTCAAGGCTCACAACGATGCTATCGCCGACCGACCTGAAGGTCTCCACGTTGGACTCCACGTCTGCAGAGGTTTGTTTCACACTCAGTGATATCGGATCCACTCACTTACACGCCACAGGAAACTTCTCCAAGTCCATGCACTTCAGCGAGGGTTCATACGAGAAGATCGCCGAGAAGTTCTTCACCGTCCTCAACTACGACACCTTCTTCCTCGAGTACGACAACCCTCGTTCCGGCGGTTTCGAGCCCCTCCGCTTCCTCCCCAAGCACAAGAACGTCGTCCTCGGAGTCATCACCACCAAGGAGCCCGAGCTCGAGGATGCCCAGGTCATCAAGCACCGCGTGCTCGACGCTGCCAAGATCATCGCTGATGGTCAGGGTCGCAGCCTCGAGGAGGCCCTTGAGCAGGTCGGCATCAGCCCCCAGTGCGGTTTCGCTAGTGTCGCTGTCGGCGCTGAGGGTATGACCGAGGAGAAGATGTTTGCCAAGCTCAAGCTTGTCAACGATGTCGCTAAGGAGATCTGGCCTGGCAAGGCTTAAAAGTTGATGTTTTCGAATGTTGTAAAAGAAAAGCAAAGTTGTACATAGGCTTGAGCATTTGGGAGTGACTGATGCATAGCGCGGTGTTGATGGTGGTGTTGAAATGAAGATGAATGACCGCCCATAGCACTCTGGGTATGCTATGAGGCTTATGTGCTCATATGAGTTGTGCCATTGCGCAAGGCGAAGGAAAAACTGGTGATGCCATTTGAAGGCTATCTATCTCAACATGGAGGTGCTTGAACAGACATCACACTTCAATAAAAAAGTCCAGATATTTTAAGAAATTTTTATTGAAAGGGGTATGGGTATTCTTCCTCCATCCCGCATCTGTGTCCATCATATTACAGTGTCTAGTAAAAACTCATATGTACATGTTCGGCAATGCCATGCCGTCTATATGCAAAGGCTCAGCACCCTCACAAACTCTAGTAAATAACAAAAATCCTCCAGTCTCATACCCAGTACAAGATATTTATTTTTTCCACTTTTTTTTTACTCCTTCTTGACGGTCTTCTTCTTGAAGCTCTTCTTGGGCATACGCGCAAGCCAGTAGATGAAAAGTGCAGCACCCATGTTGAAGATGATGTACACCCACAGAAGACCAAAGTTGCGCCATCGGTCGGCGTAGTCAATGTTGACGCCGGCGAGGTACGTGTTGGTGTACTGAACAGTGCAGAACTCGCAGTTGGAGGTGGCATCGGGGTCAACGAAGTAACCGCCGACAGCCTTGATATAGTCACCCATGTACTCAGTACAAGTTGAACCATTGGGTGGTGTGATGGGTACGAGTTCGTTGCTAGCGCAGGTGACTTCCGTATTGGCGACACCTGTTGCTAACATGCCTCCGACTAGATATGTGAACGGGGACACGTAGTACATGAACTTCCAGAAGCCGGGTAGAGTTCCCTTGGGAGCGAGGACACCACAGAAAATCAGGCAAAGCATGAACAACAGGTTAGCAACGTTGGCACCACCCTCAGCTGTTTCGAATCCAGCGATGATCATAGTGGAGAAGGTAGCAGTAAAGATGAGGAAAGCCAATAGTAGCAAGAACATAAGGGCACCACGTTCGGTAGTTTGACCGGCATCAGAAGCGTTGTTGTAAAGACCGACAGGGTAGTACCAGCCAAAGAACATGATAACAGCCATCAAACTATTCCAAGGCAATTCGACGATAATCTGCGCTAACATGAAGATCTTCCATGAGTAGACCTTGGAAGGACGTTCACGAACCTCGTAGAGGGAACGCTGAATGACGAATTGAGGCATAGACTGTTGTACGAGTTGACCAAAGATAGTAAGCAAGTTGAAGATGGCGAACATCTGGTTCTGAAGACCCTGGATACTGTTGGGGGCTCGGAAGAAGACGAAACCGATGAAGAGAGCGACGAGAGAGCAGAGAGCAGCCTTGGAGTAGATGTAGACGGGAGTACGCCAGTACTGTTGGAAAACACGGAAGAGGACCTCCTTGAGTTGGACCATGAAGGGAGCAGCGAACTCGCGGTAGCTACCGTCATCGACATCGGTATCCTCAACGCCCTGCTTCTCACGCTTGATACGCTCAAGTTCGGCCTGGACTTCCTGATATTCGGGGCTGTCACGCCAAGTCTGGAACCAGTCGAGTTCGGTGTGAGATCCGGGAGCAGCACCAATAACTTCCAACATCCATTCAGCGGGGTTAGCCTCAGGGGGACAGGAGTGTCCACCGTAACGCTCAAAGTAGCTGGTCATGGTCTTGGAGTTCTCGCCGATATCACCAAAGTAGACAGTCTTGCCACCCTTGGCAAGGAAAAGGAGTCGGTCGAAGCGTTGGAACAACATTGCAGAGGGCTGATGAATAGTGCAGAGAATGGCTTGACCGGCGTTTGTCAACTTCTCAAGAAGATCCAAAATAGCCCAAGAGGTTTGAGAATCGAGACCAGATGTAGGCTCATCAACGAAGAGCAGCAGAGGAGGCTTGGCAGCAAGTTCGACACCGATAGTAAGACGCTTACGTTGCTCAACGTTGAGACCTTCACCAGGAACACCAACCACGGCATCGGCATATTCTTCCATATCAAGGAGCTTGATAACCTGTTCCACATAGTCGAGCTTCTCCTGCTTAGGGACGTGAGCGGGCTGGCGTAGGAGGGCACTGAAGTTGAGGGCCTCTCGGACGGTCGAGGTCTGAAGGTGAAGATCCTGTTGCTGAACATAACCGGTCTTGCGCTGGAAGGACATGTCTCGAGGGTTACCATCGACCAACATCTCGCCTGTGATAACACCCATAGATGTACGGTCGGCCAAACAATCAAGCAGAGTGGTTTTACCGGCACCAGAAACACCCATCAGGGCTGTCAGGGTACCAGGCTTGACCCAGCCATCGACATTATCCAGAATCTTACGGGTTTCGTCCTTGATTTTAACCTCATAGCAGACATCATGCCACTGGAAGACCGAGGTCTGTTCCTGGAGCATACCGCCATCCTTGTGGGTTCGGCTTCGAGTGCGTTCAGCAGTGACAACGGGACCAATGTGAGCCATAGCAGCCTCAGGGTCGCTATGCTTCTTCTCAGCATTGGCAACGGCAGCAGGCTTGTGACCGCGTCGGTAGACAAGGACTTCACCCTTGGACTTCTTCTCAGAAACGAGTTCGGCGGCAACCATGTAGGTGAAAGTGAAAAGAATGATCCATGCGATAACGATACCAAAGTTGCGCCAGCGGTTCTCCCATCTGTATCCAAACTGCAGCTCGGCGTATCGGTCACCGTTTACAGCAGCTCTTCCAGGTTCAGCTCCAACAGCACTGCACACACGGTTCTCCGTTGCAACATCTCCGTATCCAGGAACCGAAGGGCTAGGAACGAACTCGTTGCAAGTGTAGTCGCGGTTGTGGAATTCGTTGACGACGACAGCCTCAAAAGCGTAGGCGATAGGGTCGATCCAGTAGAGCCATTTGCACCATCCGAGCATGTAGCGCTTTGGAATGACGAAGCCGGTGAAAATGACAAGATCCAGAATGAGAATGGCGGCCGGGACAAGAGCCTGGAACAAACTGCGAGTAGCGGACGCAATGGTACGGAAGATCATGGACATGACCAAAACCACAACGAAAGACATAAGGATGAAAAAGAAGAAGGCTCCTGGCTCGCGTTTTAGGTTTGTCATGAAATAAAGCGTAATGTTGAAAACGATCGTGTTGGCGATTTTATAGGGCATGTCGCACAGCATCGAAGATATAGCTTCTGCAGACGGATGATATAATGCATAACGACTGTGTTTTTCAACAATTGGACGTTGCGCATACAGGGCCAGAATCTGAGACTGTTAGTATTGGTCAGGAGTGAGATTGGAATAAAGCTTACCTCGAGAGCACTTGCGAAAGCGTTCATCAAAACAGCAAAGAACAGGAGAGCACCACGCTGGAAGAAACTGCTTGAAGTTTCATCCAGGTTGAAGAAGACGGAACCGATAATAAGAGCCATGACGAAGTTACCAATAAGAGAGCCAACAGTGATACCAGGGTCACCCTTGAGTCGCAGCCATCCACGCCACAAACAAAGCTGGATCTGCTGGGAGTAGGAGAGAGTGTAGGGAGACTTAACACGCTGTCGCTTAGCCTGCTGAGCTTGCTTGGAAGCACGGAAAGCCTCAGCGTCTGGGCCGTTGATGGGATGAGCGACCTTGTAGTCTTCAATCTCGGCCTGCAGAGCCTTGTACTCGGCGCTGTTTCTCCAAGCGGTAGCAAACTCATCAGGGGTTCGAGGAACCTTGCCCTTGAAACCGTCACGAACGATTCGCTCGTTAGGAGCAGTCATGGAAGTGAGGAAATCAGGGGTGGTCTGGCGGGCAGGGCACTCGAAACCCAGGTTGATAAAGTACTGCTTAGCAGCATCAGCGCGGCCAAAGAAGATTTGTCGGCCCTCGTAGATGACAGTGGCCTTGTCAAACAGGTCATAAGCGCTCTGAGGCGATTGGTAGATGGACACAATAGCGGTGTTGTTGAAAAGCTCGGTTTGAAGACGGAGGGTCTTGCAGAATTCGATGGCGTTGGCGGAGTCGAGACCTCGAGTTGAGTTATCCCAGCACTGCAGAGGAGCACCAGACAAGGCAGCCTCAGAAATGGTAACACGCTTGCGCTCACCACCCGAGACACCACGGATGTACTCGTTACCGACGCGGGTATTCACGGTGTGAGAAATACCAAACATAGCCATGACAACATCTCGGAGGTGATCGGCAAAGTCGTTTCTGTTCAAGCCCTGAGGAAGCTGACGGGGCTGTCGAGCTCGAGCAGCGAAGGTGAGGGTATCACCAACAGACAGCATAGGGAAATGAACATCAATCTCGGCGGTGTAGATAGCCTCACCACGGTGGTGGGAGTGCATCTCCTTGGCGGTCATACCTGTGGCACATTGTGTTAGATACTGGTTACTTGGGCGCATGTAGGTACGGGTTGTGTTGCACGCAACAAGCCCATTGCCGATCGCAACAGAAGATCGAGTCCGTGAAACCCAAACACCCCTTTTGTGCGAGATTTGCAATTCGACTCACCTTGGTAGTTGAAGTAAGACCCCTCATCGACGTAGATACCATTGAGTTCACCAGCGATGGTCTTGAGCGTGGTGGAGCAGCCAGCACCGGGAGGTCCAAGAACGACAAGCATTTCGCCCTTATGCACAACACCATCAAAGTTGCGCAGAATATCAATGCGCTGTCGCTTGCGACCAGTGACTCTTCCAACAAGGTCGCCCAGAGAGAGCCACACATTTGCGACATCGCCCTGGTAATCGCTAGCACCACCATAACCGTAGACATTGAGGTTCTGGTAGCAAACACCAGCAGATCGGAAGTTAGCGCCGTCTTGGTGAACTAATTCCACGACAGACTTTGCCCATTCGCGAGCGTTAAAATTGGGAGAGTTGGGGTTCAGAGGTGAATCCTCGCCAGCCTGGAAAGGATTCTGTCCGTTAGGGTGAGTGGCAGAGGCGTGCGAATAAGAGCGAGCGAGGGCCTGAACAATAGAGGTTCTTCGCTCCATCTCTGAGTCTTCGTCTTCCTCATCTTTACCTAGAGTGTCGGCAGGTGATGATGAGGGCTTCTCGTTGATCGCTTCGTCGTCGGTTTGCTTGTCAGCAGCAGGCACATTGTTACCAGTTGAGCCTGCGCCTGGAGCACCCTGCCTTGCAGCAGTGGCGTCGTTATTAGCGTTGATCCCGTAGAGCGCCGACATGATGAATTGTGACGGCTGAATCTACTTGGGATTCTCGCAATTGAGTTTCGAGGTTGGTGAGTGATACCCCAGTGACTGCAGAATTTCGTATCTCGTATCGGAGTTGTGAGTTGGGGTGTAGAATGTTGTTCAATATGCGAATTGGTAGTCGAGTAGCTATTGTAGGAGACAAACCAACTCAAACAAAACAACAAGAAAAGAAACGGTATTAATAAAAGGTAGGTATTAAGGATCGACAATGAATAGACAGCCGATCACAAGGGAGTAAGCAGCAGTCCCTTAAAAGAGGCGTGTAAGAAAGAGGACCCTGGACAGCGCAAGGCAAAACCAAACAGGAGGGAGGTCAGGAGAATATGTAAAATATGAAGGAGCTCTCACTCTCTCAGTTCGTCATGTCCTCCGACGGTAAGCTAACCTAACAGAACAGAGCATGGAGATAAACTCGCGTGGATCGTCCAAGCAAAGGTCCACCTGTCGACTAAGCCCGAAACTGAAGGGTAGACGACAAGGAAGGGGTGTGCACGCCCAGCTAAGGTACCTCAGGTAGGCAATTCTAGCGCATCGTTTGGAAGTGGAAGCGGGTGCGGCTGCAAGCCTCTGTAGGGGTTGTTTCTCACTGTCCGGGGCCGGGTTGGCTACTGGCTGTCAACCATTTACTGGCGGCCGCTCCAAGTATGTACCTACCTCGCTCGCTCTCTAGTGATTGCTGTATTTAACCTCTTTTCTTCGCTTTCAACCTCAAACTGACTCAAGATATCGCCATCATATTCCCAGTCCTCATTTCTTGAGAGTTGATATTGGACAAGAGGAAAATAGAGCCTATTCTGTCGGGAGGGGGAAAAGGCTAATGTGTTATTCCCACCGAGACGCCGAGATCTCAAGTATCTGACCGAGTGGCAGAAGTCGATGGATCATCAATCAATTCCCAGTTCTCAGTCCGCAACAGTTGATCATACTCGTCAACGTGTCAACGCTGTCACCAAGTCCGCAGTTCTTATCCACTGCGCCTCTTCATCTCTCCGGCATTGAGAAACAATTTGCCCTTTCGCACAATACCAACAACCCGACCCGATACGCAATGACTATTTAGGCAATCATAGAGGGGTGCGCTGTTGAGTCAAAACATCCATTACAGTGCCTGTTTACAGCGTGAGAGTGAGGGTGAGAGAGACAATTCTTGGCGGATAACGGGTGTCTCCAAACTCCGACACTCCAGGCCATTTAAGCGAACGAGGATCCCGGGAATTGGAACGAATTGCATACATTCCCCACTACTAACTCCGCGTGCTTAGTGCTCGTACCCCTGGATGTCATGTTATTCGTCGTATTGCACTCGCATTCAAAGGATTCTGACTGGTAGCGCAGCTGTGAGCCATTTGTGATTTAACATTGCGTGCGTTAGAGGCTCACATCAGCCACAACCATGAGAATTCGACGCACTCTCTGGTGATCATCAAACGTTCAGTATTGGTTCTTGAATATTCGCATTCGACCTTTTCCTGAAACAAGACGCTGGAGAACTCTATATCTCGACTAACACAGCTAATCTCATCTTCAACCACGCTGCATCAAACCCTATTTGTCGCGCTTAATTATCCACCAAGAGCCCTACAAGATCTAACTGATGATAATATCGTCTCCCCTTGCAAGGACCAGTGATCAGAAACTGTTATTTCCAACAAGGAGAGATCTCTCCGATCTTCTCCGCAAAGATAAAAAACTTTGTTTCCGTATCCCAACTTCAAACAGGTTGCGAAACCGCGTATTCATCATTCGGGTCGTTGCTAAAACCCGTCGGCCGATAGCCAATTACTCACGTTACAGCGGATGGAAGATCCCCCAGTAAGACGCCTCTGATTGGACAATGCGCAATATGTTGGTGGTGACAGTCTCACGTATTCGAGTTCTGCATCGAAAAATACACTCCCTTTTACCTGAGCCTTTTTTTCTTCCTTCTCGATCCGACAGGATGGGTAATGCTCATAATAAGGCTTGGCCGTCAGCACCAGGATTCTTGCTGTTGATTTAGATCCATCAAGAAAACACCAACGCACGGCTAATGTTCGTTGTTAGTGGTAGCGTGAGCTTACTCCGTATTTCTATCGGGGTCTTCCAAGGACCCGACAACCCGTCCGCACCCCCGTCCACACGGCCCGCTAGTCAGCTTGAAATGTCAAAGGCTTTTTTTCAGTTGCTGAGTCAATTTTGACCCCTTTGTTACCATTGTGGGGGTTGCGATCCTTGATGAGACTGTAGCAGTGGCCAGTGATGACTGTTTCTTCTGTTGCAATCGAACCTACGCGTATATCAAGCAGGGTTTTCTTGGTTTCTAGTGAATGCTAAAAATTGATGGTTTTTTGCTTCTTATGTATGGCTACTGACAGGGGAGCATGCGAGCAAGTTCTTTCAACGATGCAACGTGTGCTAGGAGCATCGAGTCGCAAACAAGCCTATTTAATCTGAGATTCATCTCGTTGACATGTCCAAGTTGAGCAAACATGGCTGACCAGACCTGGGTACCTTGATGCATGTTCAAGTCGTAAAGAAGTCATTTCCAGATAATTCTATTCCGATCGGTACAATCGAGATCCGATCACGCTTGACGATCATGTCTCATTTCCAGCCCATTGTTACCTTGGCACTCAACTTCTGCCCGCAAACTCTCTGTGCATGCTACGCTGAGAGTTTGTATCCGATCTCAATCGGCTCTACAAAGCAAATACAACCTCAAATCTTCATCTGAAACCTCGCAATCATTCTGCCATCTCAACCTCAATCTCTGACTGAACACATGGTGCAGCGGAATGTCCAGACCCATACGTCTAATTACACCTCACACCACGCGCCACGAATCCGAAAGCGAGACCGTAAGATGAAAAAGACCCTCAAATCTTACACGATTAAACGGTCCCTGCAGGCCCAACGTTGCTCAAGCAAGGGCTTGGTCGATCATTAATGAGTGAGGTCCACTACAAAGTCCGCTCCGCATCGTGAATGTGCTCCAATGTGCTCAACACGCAAGCTGCGCATCCTGGTGCCAAGCCATAAGATTTTAAACATTTCGATACGTCTTTGTCTTACGCTGTGATTGATATGCAGGTGGACGATGCAGGGGTAGGAAGCTGACCGGATAATGTTGGTCCGTAAGCCATTGGCCGCGTGTGTGCTTACTGCAGAATGTGCTCAGTGTGAATGCGTGTGCTGTCATGGTATTTTGGCTGCTTGGAAAGTTTCCGCGTTGAATCCTTCGGAGACTTGTATGGACATTTTGTGTTATCCGTGATAAATCGACAGAAACCCAACATAGCGCGTTACAGTGTGTAGAAAGACAGACAATTGATTGATGGAAATACAAGGGCCAACCCAACGGGTTCTGAGAAATAAGTGAAAAGACCTTTCAGCCGATTTCCTATGACGGGCCGTACTGTCAAGTCGTCCCAGAGCACCTTCTTTTGGGGAGAGATACCAAGGCCATCTCTGCCGTCGATTTGCTGATTTCGAATTTTGTGCCTGCGCGACTGAAGTCCCCATCATCAGCCCGAATGGTGTAGTTCCAAAGACCCCTTGATCGGGCGAAGAAGACATGACGATGGCACCAAAGCACCTCGTCACTCCCCTCAAGTAGCGGGCCTATTGGCAAGCTTTCTTAAAAAGGTTATAGGTTTATATCATCTTCTGGCTTGCATAAATATACTAGGAGAACTGTAACCATGTTTTGTAATAAGTTATAAGAACCAGAACAGAACGTATTACCTTGATGCTTCCACGAGATATTATAACAGACTGTATATAAACACTAAACTTAAAAAATAGCATATTAATAAGATATTCAATATAATATAGAAGCAGCAAGTATCATGTAAGTGAAACTTTATAAGAACGTGTTTCGTTTCTCATCATGAAACATCTAGCTAACCTAGAGCTGATAGCGCTGAATCTGCCTCAGAAGTGTTTCTGGTCAGTAGAGCTGAACAACACGTTGGGTATCTGCTGTAAACTCACCCTGAGCTAAACGGGAGTTTAAAAAGTCAGATTGAGCTTAGAGCGTGGCTCTAATTTGTACGGTAGGGGCTCAAAGTTGTAGCAATGTGATACAATATGAGCAACAATCCTGTTGAGGCAGCGGCCGTGGTAGCTAGCATGCTGGAACAAGACACTTTGCGAGATGGGTTCTGCACTCTCATGAGGAATGTCCCTTCCAAACCGCAACGGGCTATAACACTCCTCGAAGAGAGCCACATTCCCAAAGTCTTTATCCCCCGGCGAAAACTGATGCTGGAGTGTTTGCCATCGTTTCCTGAGCCAAAGGCTTGGGCACTGAAGCTTTAGGGAATGATCACCTGCGATCTCCCAGAAAAGGCTCGAATGATAAGCTATTTGGTGCTCGAACTGCGTCTGTTAGAGATATCTAAGCATCGCTTTTTATCTTTCTCGGGGTAAAGTGGTGACATGCCAGCAAATACTGTATTCAATACTTGAGAAGCAGCCCTAGTAGTACCAATATGTAATAATTTACTTGCTCATGAATAAGTAAGTGAACCAATCTAGTTGCTATACATGACTTGAAAGGATATTATGCTAGCATACCGTAAGTAATAACTGTTATCATACACCTCTATCTGGCATTTCTCTCATACGGATTTCTCTTCGACACTTCAATACGTCCTGATGGGCAAGGATAAAATAGAACAGGATCAAGCTTACACACCATCTTTGATGGTAGTTCAAATTCTGTTATTCATATTTTACAATGTTTTATTCGAACAATGATCTATGAGCGAGCGCTTTTATAATATTGATACATGGCATCACGATTCTGTTTTAGAGCAATTTTCATCCCTTGTAGGGGCTGGGGCCAACCATAAGCTCGGGCTTGACAAGAGTATCAAACTCCTCCTCAGTCAAGGCCTGGAGCTCGAGAGCACTCTGCTTGAGGGTCAGACCCTTCTTGTGAGCATTCTTGGCGACCTTGCTGGCCATGTCGTAACCGATTTTGGGGT